GGGTTTCCTGGGTACCATCGGAGTCATGCGTATCTTCATCCGAGACTTTGCGAAACATGCTAAACCACTTGTGCAGTTAACCAAAAAGGACGTTGACTTTGTCATGGGTCCGGACGAACTAGCTGCCATGGAGACCTTAAAGAATCTTGCCATCACCTCCCCCGCTCTCCGAGCTATCAACCACTCATCCGATCGCGAAGTCATACTGGCTGTCGACTCCTCCACCGTAGCCGTCGGATTCATCCTCTCCCAGGTAGGCGCGGACAACAAACGCTATCCGTCCCGTTTCGGCTCAATCACGTGGAACGACCGAGAATCCCGCTACTCCCAATCCAAAATCGAGCTCTACGGACTCTTCCGGGCACTCCAGGCCACGAAGCTTTGGCTCATTGGAGCTCGCAATCTCACCGTTGAAGTCGACGCGAAATATATCAAGGGTATGATCAACAATCCGGACATCGTTCCAAACGCTGCGATGAACCGCTGGATCGCGGCCATTCTTACCTTTTCCTTCAAACTCAAGCACGTTCCCGCTCGGGATCACACTCCGGCCGATGGCCTCTCACGACGAAGAAGAGCCGAAGAAGACCCGGTCCTTGTAGAAGATGTCGAGGGTTGGATAGATGAAGCGTGTGGTTTTACTTTACAGGTTCACTCGGACGGCGACGCCTCTATCTCTCGGGTTGCGCAGAACCGTTTCCGGGGTCATCTCGGGTCCCTCGTCCGCACTTTCATCTATGATGAAGACTCTGCTGGATTCAACGACTCCGACGATTCCGACGACATTCCCCGGACTCCGAAGGCCGCGGGTAAGGACGCCCGAATGTTGGAGATAGAGACCTTCCTCCGGACTAGCAAGGCTCCCGTCGGACTCACTGAACCCGCCATGCGGAACTTTGTTCGACAAGCGCTCAACTTCTTCTACCGCGATGGCAAGCTCTGGCGCAAGGATAACCACGGGAAGCATAAAGTCTACATCCATCCGGGTCGCCGTCTCTACCTGATCCGGGCTGCTCACGACTCTCTCGGACACAAGGGTATCTTCGTCATCCGCACGCGCCTTCTTGAACGATTCTGGTGGCCCTTCCTTGACCAGGACGTCCGCTGGTTTGTCAAGACTTGTCATCAGTGCCAGATCCGCTCCAACTTCAAACTACACATTCCGCCGTCTCCGACGATCCCACTTTCCCTTTTCCGCCGCGTCCATATTGACTGCATGGTGATGCCTGCCGCCAACAAATTCAACAAGATAGTCCACGCTCGGTGTGCTCTTACCTCTTATCCGGAGTGGTGCGCGCTTCGCCGGGAGACCGCGGAGACACTGGGCATGTTTATTTTCCAGGAGATTCTATGCCGCTGGGGCGCCATCGAAGAACTTGTGACGGATAACGGTACCCCGTTTGTGAAGGCAGTCGAATATCTGGCAGAAAAATACGGCATCCGACACATCCGAATCTCGCCGTACAACTCCCAAGCCAACGGACTCGTCGAGCGGAGACACCGGGACGTTCGGGGTTCACTCCTGAAGACTGCGGATGGCAATGAGAAGAAATGGGTTGAAGTCGCACCATCCGTCTTCTGGGCCGAGCGTGTCACCATCTCCAAGACCTCCGGAATGTCTCCTTACTACATGGTACATGGCATCGAGCCCCTCTTTCCGTTCGACCTCCACAAAGCTACCTATCTCGCCCCTCCTCCCGATACCACTCTCACCACTGAACAGCTCATCTCGATGCGCGCCCGACAACTCCAGAAGCGTCCGGACGATATCGAACGTATGCGCGAGAAAGTTATTCGGAGTCGGATCGCCTCCCTTGAGGAATTCGAACGTCGGTTCGCCCGGACGATCAAGGACTTCAACTTTCTTCCCGGACAGCTCGTTCTCGTTCGTGATAAAAAGATAGAAGGAGATCACTCACTCAAGCATCTGCCTCGCTACATGGGACCTATGATTGTCGTCCGACGCACTCATGGCGGATCCTACGTCCTGTCCGAACTCGATGGCTCCGTTTCCAATCTACGTTATGCAGCATTCCGCGTCATTCCGTACTACGCCCGACACCGCCATCTCTTTCCCGTTCCCCAATCTGCCGAACCCGAGGAATCCGGTGACTCCGAAGATCTTCCGGAACCCCAGTCCGCTGCAACCTTCGCCGGACTACAAAATACGACGAACGACCAAGTTTTGACGCCTTCGCGGCAGCCTAACCGTCTAGTACTCTAAAATTTTTTCCACCCACACCAGGGTTCTCCCTGTGTTGTATTCCGGTCTTCGGGCCTGCTCTGTCTCCCGTCTCTCACTTGTTCCGTTCATTTCTCTTTTATCCGATGCTTATGCTCTCTTAAATCAGTTGTCGTACGCGTCATCCGACGACTCCGGTCATCCATTTCCGGTTCCGAAGCTCTCGGACTTGCCGGTCTCACGCTGCGTGTTTTTGTTTCACTTATGCTTACTTACTCATTTTGTGTTGATTCACAAGAAAAACTTTTCCCATTTTTTTACCTAGTCGGACAAGAAATAGCTCTACGGGCCAAGTGCCCCTTCTCGGTCTCACTCTCCGTCATACTCCGCGTCTTCGTCCCTTCTCCTGTCCTCTTCCCGTTCCTCCGTGTCCGCCGCGTCCGCCCGTTGCGCCTCCTCCAGTTCCCTTCGCAGCATCAGTGCCGCCAGACTCCTTGTTGCCGCGGCCCGGGTGCTCTCCGCGTCCTCCGTGGCCTGCTTGAGAGCCGCGATCCGAGCGTCCATGGATGACATCACCTGGACGATGGTTCGCAGCTCATGGTCTGCGCACGCCTCTGCCAGAATTGGCACGAGGGCACCGCCCGCCGCTGCCCGCGTATTGCGGCGTGTCTCCCTGGCCTCTCCTACCCGACTCCGTGTTCGCGGGATTGCTCCTGCCCGCTGCTTTCCTTTACCGGGCGTTTTGCTGCCCGACGCCGTCTCCTCCGCTGTCTTCGCCTGCTTGGCCCGGGTCTTCGCGTGCGAACACTTTACCTTGGAGCCGGTGCACGACTCGCAAGCGTGGCAGCCGGTGCCGACGCAAGAAAAATGGCCCTGCTGGCAGCGGAGGCACCGCCGGTACCCGGAGAACTCCACTCTCGGGTGCGGGCACGATTCCTTTGAGGCGCCATATCCGCAGCCCCATTCCTCGTTCCGCGGGTTGGTGCTCCGATCTGTTCCGGCAGTCAGTAACGATGAGGCACATAGGCCGATGGGCTTACCCGCCGGGTTGTATTCCCCATACGCCTCGACGTCGTAAGGTGCAGGCGGGGGCGGGGTTCTCTCGTGTGCGTCATCCAAGTTTCCGGCTCGTTTTCGGATACGCTTTGTACGCGGAGTTGTCTCCGCGTCATCGCTCTCGACGGCTTTGCGCTTTCCAGCCCGGATGGCGGCAGCTCGTCGTCGGGTACGCGGCACAGGAGTATCTTCGTCGTCGGCCTCCGACGTGATCTCAATCACCTCCCCGAGATGTTGCGTCTCGCCCGGCTCCGCCGCAGTGCTTCCGCTCCCAGATCCGACGGTTCCCGAGCCGCCGACGAACTAGGATTTCCGGGCGGCCTGGCGTCGCGCCTCAGCCGCGAGCGCGTCCCGCCGTCGTGTGTCACGCACCTCCGCAGTTCTTCAAGCTTCCTCTGCTCGTCGTTCCTCCAATGCCGCTGCCTCCTGTCGCCGTTCGTCTTCCTCCTTCTGACGTTTTGCCTCCGCAGCGTCGCGCTCCTCCTGCGCCTGTCGTTCGTCCTCGGCCTGCCATTCCGCAAGCCGGCCCTGCGCTTCGAGCAGCTGCCCTGTGGCTGTAGCCATCCTTGCCCGAACTTCATCCTCTACACTCCCTTGCAGCCCCCGCGCGACCAAGATCTCCTCAGCGGCCGACAGCCAGTCCTGGTGCCTGTTAGTCCGAAACACGCAGACACTCGCCTAGTACGTACCTGCTGATGCTCCATATCAGCCACGGCCAGCTCCACGTCCTCGCGGTGTTCATCGTCCAGTTCCGGCATCACATCTCCCATCCCGGCGAAGTACTGCACTTCGGTTTCATAGGCGACGACCGCCTCCTTCTTCTTCATTGACCGGAGTTCCTCGGTCGTGTGAGCGGGGACGTGTTGCAGAGGATTCGACATGGCGGACGATGGTAGTGCTGATGGAGGGAGAGAGCAAGAGTAGATGTTGGACTTCGTCGAAATATCAACAATCTGTCATGTGACCGCGCTTCCTTTGGTCTCACGCCACACTTTCGTTCACCCACCCACCTGCCCACTTCGCATTTCTTGCTCGCCGTGTACGTTGACCCGGAGGGTCAACACATAAAGTCCCCGGGGGATGTAAGGGTTGAACCCTTTCGTTCCGTGCAGTCCGACCTCCCCTATCCCCTATCGACCCCTCTCCGACTCTTCGGACACGCTCGCACATGACTCGGACGTCACGAACCCGTACCGGCCACACGTGATAACGGATCAGACAGCTCGGATCAATCTTTCGTATATCTTTTGTTCTCGGACTCTAATACATGGACTATACTAGCACCATTATTTGTTCCTGGTGCCTTTTCGTCTCGGACTTTTCCTTCATCTGACATTTTTCTTAGCTACAAAAGCCTCCTGTACTCGTAGTTAGAAGAATCAGATTTGTTCCCCCCCCACATCGAGTGAGATTCTAAGCCGTCCGAACCTTTCTTCTCATCCGTTGTCAGAGTCTGCCGCTGTCCGAGTCCGAGCCCGAGTCCGATCCGAAGTTGCTTTCTCCTGCCGTCCTTGTCATTCTCCTGCCGTCCTCGTCGTACTATCCGAAGCCAAGTTGTCTATCCGCGTCCGAGCGCGTCCGAAGCCATCCGAAGCCATCTGAAGCCGTCCGAAGCGTCCGAAGTTTCTCACTTGTTCGTTTTCACTCTCGGACTCATCCTTATCACACTTTACTCACGCGGGTGTCGCACGGACTTGTCCTGCCGGAGGCGGACCCTCGCATTTTACTAGACTACACTACTAGTCTACGCGTACATTCACTACTACAGTATGGTAGAGTTGGGTGGAAACTCCAACACCATCCTGGCCTCCCACAGAGCCAGGTGTCCCCCCTTTTTCGGATCGAACTTTCCGAGAGCCGTTATCGCGCACCAGCCATAGGCCAAGTTCTTTGTATCTCTGTGCTTGAAAGTTTGTACCTTAGGCCCAAAGTTGAACGTGGCACAGGGGAAAACTGATTTTGCAAAGTTTCTTCGCAGGTGGGGGAGGGCCTGGTACATGGTATCTACGTAGTTGACGTAGTGGGCGTGCAGGCGGGGGGCCCAAAGTTGAAATGTGGAGTCTGCGTAGGATGCAAGCCGTTGAAAAGCAGAGTGCTTCAGAAGGCGATCAAGGCCTTCCGCATGCGGGCCGCTCTCGCCCGAAACAAGCCTGGAGGGCGCCGTCTGTCCGTTGCCATAGGACACGCCAGCAGCCAAAGCCGGGAAGTTACCGCGCCTATGCCTACGCTCTCTATCTTGAAGTTCAAAGCTTTGAAGCTCTGACTCCATAGAAGAGTATGCAGCCAAGCAGTCCCGGTCGAAGGACTTGTCGTTTGGCCGGCCTGCTAGCACTGCAAACACCCGCCCTGCTGAATCAGTTATGGGGCGAGGGGTGCTGGTGGGGACGGTTAGGGTGGAGAACAACAGCCAGTAGAATCGAAACTCACCGCCCATCCCATTCTACCAGGCTGAACCCTTGGGCAAGCAGCTCCTCCAGGCCCAAACAGTGCAAAGTTCCGGGGCCTTGAGGGGGGTTTCTAGCAGTATAGCCGCCTCTCGCAGCTGGGAGCTCCTCCGTCTTGAGGCCGCTTCCTTGTAGAGGCGCAGATTGGGACAGCAGCGCCTTGGTGCGTGCGGCGGCTCGGCGGCCAATGCGTTGGTATTTGGCCTCTCGCGCCAGATTTCGTTTGTAAGCCTTGTACGACATCTTTGCCACACTCTCCCGACGCCCATTGCTCCCATCAGGTGCATGCTTGGCGGGGTGCGTGGGCGGCTGGGGACCTTCTTCAACGCGTTCAGCCTTCTCCTCAGCCTGCTGGAAGGCTGGGTGTGAGGACGTAACCCCCGTGCCTGCGTCAACATGCTGGGAGAAGGGAGGTCCGTGGATGCCTCCCGCCCCTCCCTCAACCAGCTGAAGGGCCGTCTCCGCATTGCTGCGCTGGGAGGGTAGAGGCGTGGGGCCTTCCGAGTCACTTCCATAGGCGTCGGCCTGGGAGTGGGTAGACTCCATGACTTGCGCAAAGTCGACCCCGCTGGAGTATGGGCTGAACTCCTTCCCGCACCGTAGCTAAGCGTAAGGCAAGCCTGCGTCAGGCCTGCGTCCTTGACTCAGAAACTGGACAGTACTCACGCTGCGCATTTCCAATAGGGTCGTTTTCTGTCAAAGTGGGGGTCAGCTCGCAGCCCAACACGTCGTACAGCCGACGCGTGCGCCCTTGGCCACTTCGCCCGAGGCAACACAGGTTCACTAGCCCCAGGGGTGAAGCAGACTGAGCCCTGTCCCGTCCAACGGAGTGCTCTGGTGCGCACGCATGGGGAAGAAATCACCTACCTTAAGGTCCTTCGTGCGCGGGTGGCTCTGAACAAGTTGTGTCGCGGCAGGCCTTTGTTGAAATCAATCAGGAGATTTTGGCACGTGCTTGTCAGGTGAGAAACAAAGGGTCAACGTGGCTTCGGCCACACCAAACAAGTGGCTGGGCGTGGCACGAGCATCTGAGAACCTGAAGAGCAAATGTGAGCTCCCCAGTCCTCCCTCGCCTCCAGCAGCCTACGTACTGACTCTCCCGGCAGGCGTTACTTACCTTTGACTTGGACGTTTCGCCGGTGGCGGTGAAGTCCGACGATTGCTGTCCGTTGGAGGGGTGGGCGTTGAAGGCCCCACAGCCCATAGCTTCGCCATCAGTTGACGAGCGTAGCTACTAGGGGATTGAAGCAAGGGTCTGGCTGTCTAGGTGTGAGGCCTTGCTCCAGGTGAGTTTCCTCAGGCCTCCGTCTCCGTCTGTGCGCTTAATGGCTCCCCCTCGTGTAGCGTCTCGTACCATGCACGTGGGAACGCCCTGCGGGTCGACTCAATGATGCAGCTGCTCTGACACATTCGCCAACACCGGATACTGTAGCTAGGACCTAGCAGTGGCTCAAGCGTGAGCCATTGCCCACGACTGGCACAGCAAATGCGAGATTCTGGCGGTAGCCCAAGTACTCTATTTTGTAGGCCTGACGTATGCTCCTTCGCTGTACTCTACCTTCATGTAGCTTTTTGAACATTACTTGAATCACACCCACCCATTTGCTCCGCTACGTAAGTCGTAGCCGCCTACCTGCCATCGACAACACTGCGCTCTATCCCATGACGGAAGGTGCGGGTCCGTGTTCGTCACGTGGTGCCACGAATGAATGCATGGAACACGTGCACCTTGGTTCGAAATTTCTCTTTCAACCTCGAAGGCCAGAACAACTCTCCACGAATGTTTCTCTTCAAGTCCGTCGCGTACCTTGTCTTTGCCACTTCAGCACTTAGTTCGGCACTTGGTTCGTGGAGTGTGTTCCTCCCAACCTTTGATAGCTTCACTTACCTACCCTTCCAACATAGCACTTTGCCCTCTGCCTGTCAAGCTGCAACAGACTTGCGGCTTCAGCGGACCATGCACCCGTGGTCCGTGTTCTTCTTCTCGTGCCAATTTAGTTCACTGACAGTGCGACAGAGCCCTTCGATGCCCTAGACCAGACACGGCCACCAGACTGGCAATACCAAGGCCACAGATGCTTTGGTGCGTGCCCCCTTTCCCCTGCACCAAGCTCAGGTCCTCAAACGCCTCGCAGATAATACGACTGCTTGCCTGCATCCCCTTTGTCCTCCCAAGCCCCCTTCCTTCAATGGGAGCACATACCGTTCCACCGGCTGTGAGCCTTCCTCGAACTTGCAAGGTGGGTCTCCCGCTGCCACCAACCTCCCTCCTGAGTTTGTCCACTCAACAACCTCCCAGTTCTACGGCACGTTGTAGGAAATCATGTACACACTGAGGTCGTGCGAAGCTTCAGAAGTTGGCACTGCCCTGGAGCCTTAGGCTTTGACCTCCCCTTTAGAGGTGAGTTTGTGCACCCTACTATAACGACGGCTACTGACGTCTCACCAAGCTCGCCTCGTCCCATCTGACCTACGCCACCAAATTACGCTGGGCTTGTCCCGCGATGTTCCTCGTTATGTCAGGGGATCGTCCCGCCTTCTCGAGTGTCTTCTTGTCGTTGGGTTCTTTGTCGGACTATCAGTCCTAGTGTGGCAAACTATTTTGTCCTCTGCTTCCCAACTATGGGTGCGGTATACTTTATCTACCTACAGATACCGGGTTGTAGGGGGCCATCTTGCCCGTATCATACACTACAGAGAACTTGAGGATTACATAGTGAACGGCCCTCTGGTAAAGGATGTGGATAAAATAGGCCTTGTCTTTGTCGGTGCATACTCTGATGCTGAAGTTTTGCAATATCCTTCAAGTGCATATTTCCATATTAAAGCAGATATTGGAGTTATACTGCCTGTGCTCTCTGCTCGTCAATGTATATCAATAGCTGCCAAACATGGCATTCTTTGTGGTAGTAAATGTACAAAGTCATTGGTAATTGATATGGCTCAAAATCATTCGTGTGCTGTTTGCTATTCGCTCACTTACGTCTATGAAGTGAGAAATACACAAAAATTTACAACACAACTTAGCCGGACTGTTGTGAAAGAAGAGAAGAAACTACAGAGACAAACAAACATGTCCGAAAAAGGTAATTTCCCACCACCTCCACCATCCAAGTATGCAGTCAAAGATATGGCAACTGCATGTGCTAGGAGAATGGAGCCTTCAGCAGTTCAGGAAGCAGGCTGTGCTGTGTGTGGTCAACTTGTGTTGCAGACAGAGCTTTCAAGACTGAAGTCGGTAAAAAATCTACTCCATGTATTAGAGGTGGATGGAATGACTCGACTCACTAGAAAACAAGATAGTGATCCAATTAGATCAATACCTGGCCCTGTCATTGATCCAATTCGTATGATATGCAATTATTGTCGTACTGCTCTTCGAAATGAGAGAATACCAAAGAATGCATTAGCACGAGGTTTGTGGCTTGGTGCAATACCCCCAGAGTTACAAGATTTGAGATTTGTGGAAAAATTAGTAATAGCCCGTGTTCGGTACAGAAATTGCTTTGTTCGTGTGTCAAGTGGTTTCAGAAAAATGATAGCAAATGCATTGGCATTTGAGTCTCCAGTCCCTAAGATATATACTCATCTTCCAATCTCCAAGGCAGAGCTGGATGAGGTCCTTGTCATCTTGTTCACAGGTCCAAAGCAGCCAGTAAAAGATGACTTGAAAAGGACACCCTTTTTGGTGCGGGCAAACAAAGTGCGAACAGCTCTTGAGTGGCTGATACTGAATCATTCAGATTATGCACAAGTAACTATTGACATTGGAAACCTAGCTCAGTATGGTAACGATGATGTGGCTCCAGTGACTATACAGTATAAACCCACAATGTCTGCAAAGATAAGTGGAACTCCTGCTGTTAATGACATGGAGGAGGAGGATGGTACTGAAAATGGACCCTGTCCATTTGTTATACACGGATTGACCGGTGCTCAGATGGAAGAGACATCAAACAACACTCTGAAAACCCTTGCTCTGCAATATTTCAATCAATCTGGTAGAGTGTTAGCAATAGGACAGTCATCTGAGTTTGAGTCAATATGGAATAATCCTCAGCTGTATCCTTCAATGTTCCCTTGGCTGTTCCCATATGGACTTGGAGGAGTTGGATCTGTTTACCGTATGTCAACAGCAGCTCATAAAAAGTGGCTTCTCATGTATCATGACAAGCGGTTTCAAACAGACGTAACCTTTCCCTTTGTGGCATTTAGTCATGAGCAAATTATGAAAAGCTCAAAGAGGGCATTTTTATTAACAGAGAAGTCTAAGTTCAAGGTGATATCTGAAAGAATCATGAACCTCAATGAAGATGTACTTGCTTCTATAGTCACTCGTACTGCAAGTGGTGAGCACATCAAACCAGAGACAATTGAAGAACAGAACTGCTTTGACATTGTAAGGGATTTAGATCATATTGCAGTTGGTGTTAGTGGCTCACCAACCTCAAAGAAGTATCAACGAAATGAAATCTGGTCATTAATGTATCATGTGGGAAGCCCAATCTGGTATATTACATTATCGCCAGTTGATATCAAACACCCAATATGTATATATTATGCAGGTACAGATGAAGAGATTCAACCTATTATGCCTGCTGATGAGCGAATGCGAACAGTTACTTCCAATCCAGTGGCGTGTGCCCGGTTCTTCAGATTCATGGTTAATGTCTTTATATATGAGATATTGCGGTTTGACAGTGATGGCCCCAGAGTGTATGGCAATGTCGAAGCCTATTATGGTACTGTTGAACAACAAGGCCGGCTATCATTGCATTTGCATGCAATGTTGTGGATTTTGGGATCAATGTCTCCTCAGGAAATACGTGATAATCTACTTGCTTCAGATGGGAAGTGGCAGACCAGAATTGTTGAATGGCTGGAAGGCTGTCATGTAGGGGAGTTTTTGACTGGAACACATGAAGAGGTTGAGGCTCGTGTTGTGAAGTCAAAGGCTGAAGGTACATTCATAGATCACACATTAGAAGTGCCTGAAGTTCCTCCATATACAGCAGGGTGTACATGTAATGATGAGACATGTGATTCTTGCAACATTCTACTGAATTGGTGGTCACATTTTTCACAGGTGACAGATGAAATAGTTCTTCAGTCAAATGTTCACAATTGTGATAGATATTTAAACAAAGATGGTACACAGAATAAGCTTCATGTGTACAAAGGTTGCAAAGACAACAAATGGGGAAAATGCAAAGCTCGCTTTCCACGTAAAGTGGTAAAGGAAACAGAAGTAAATGCTGACACTGGTTCAATTGTCCTGAAGAAGTTAGAACAATGGATAAATACCTTCACCCCATTGATAACTTATATTGTACGGTCAAACACAGATGTAACGTCAATGCTATCTGGTACTGCTGTTAAGGCTGTTGTTGCATATGTATCAGATTATATTACTAAGTGTGGTTTGAAGACTCATGTGGTGTTTGAATGCATTCAGGCTATACTCACTCGAAATCCTGGTATACTGAACAGTACAGGTGTTGACTCAGCCACAAAAGCTCGACAGATTATGACTAAAGTGGTAAACCTAATGGGTGCAAAAATTGAAATGGGATCTCCCATGATTTGTATGTATTTGCTAGAACATCAAGATCACTATACAAGCCATAATTTCAAGGTCTTTTACTGGACAGCCTATATTTCTGAGGCACGGAGTTACTGGCATCCTGATGATGCTTACAAGACTACTGATAAAGTAACTTTGATTAAAACAAAGAACAAACTTATAGGTTTGTCTCCTGTATTTGACTATGTGTATCGACCAGAATCATTGCAGTCAATGTGCCTCTATGACTGGGCAATACGCTGCACAAGAGTAAAACATGCTAAGTCTAATAAAAAAAATCCTTCAGCCACAGAATCTAATGCTGATGAAGAGGAGGAGGAGGAGAAGGAAATAGATGACTGTGAAGAAGACACTGAAAACTTTTTATCTACATCCAAGAGATCAAAGCAAGTGATGCTTGATTACCAGCTAGATCATCCTCTTTCATCAACCCACAAATGTGCCTTGATGATGGAGACAAATAAAAACTTGCATAGAACAGTTCTAAACTTTATGAGTGCTCCTCCAAGAAGAGACCAAGGAGATCGTGAGTACTATTGCAGTACAATGTTAGCATTATTTCTACCTTGGCGAAGTGGAAAAGATCTCAAAGAAGCAGATAAAACTTGGGATGAAGCTTTTGTTGAACAGGAGTTTAGTGCAAGTCATACAAAAATCATGAACAATTTTAATCTTCGTTATGAGTGTCTTGATGCTAAAGATGATTTTAGAACTGAAATGAAGGCTGGAGTAGGTGAAGACTTATCTCTTCCTTTCTTTGATAACCAGTACATGGCTCAGAAATGTGATGAGAATCTTGAAGGCATACTGCAGAATGACAGTGATATTAACTTACAAATAGAAACTGAAACACAGTGTGCAGCTTCCATCCGGCGTGAGAAGGCTATCAAAGATATGAAATCACTGATGCAGAATTCAAATTGGGCAAGCCCTTTGCTATCTGTAGATCCTTTGCCACATCACAGTAGTAATTCAAATCATAGTGCAATTCCCAAAAGACCCCCCCGTGAATGGAAGCAGCTTATTCAAGTGTTGCGTCAGCAAGTAGTGGAGATGCGAAGGCAAGCTGGATCACCTAGTGGTATGAACATGTCTTCATCAGCAAACATTGTTGATTATAATGATGTGAAAGTTGTTGATAAGTCATATCTTGAAGCAGCATATATTCCAAGGATACATCATAAACTTGTAGTAGATTGCAGAGTCAAATTTTGCTTGAATGAAGAGCAAGATCGTGCTTTCAGTATTGTTGCCAATCATTCAGTGGCTGAGAACAGTGGTCAGCTAAAAATGTACATTGGAGGTATGGGTGGAACAGGAAAATCACAAGTACTTAAGGCACTTGTTCACCTGTTTGAAAGTCGCAATGAACTTCACAAGTTGCTGGTTGTGGCTCCAACTGCCAGTGCTGCATGTCTTTTGCCTGGGGGTATGACATATCACTCCGCATTTGGTATAAACTTTGCAGTTTCAAGGACCATTCTTACAACAACAAAGGAGAAGCTTGAAGGTGTGTCATATGTCTTCTTTGATGAGATATCTATGTGCTCTGCAAGAGATTTACACAACATTAGTGTCAGAATCTGTTTGGCGCTGAATGCACCACCTGGTACACCATTTGGTGGTTTAAATATGATATTTGCTGGCGACTTTGCACAGTTGCCACCTCCTATCGGTGGCGAGAATGTGTCTCTTTACAGTCATACAATTGGATATTCTCTGAAGAAATTGAAACAACAAGAAGAAGCATTTGGAAAGGTTTTATGGCATCAGGTCACAACAGTTGTCATTTTGCGAAAAAACATGCGTCAAAAATCGCAAACCATTGAAGATGCTAAATTCCGAGCTGCTCTAGAGAACATGAGATATAGATCATGCACATTAGAGGATATCCAATTTTTGAGAAGCAGAGTATCTGCCAACATTGAAGGAAGAGCCTCTGTATGTGACCCCAAGTTCAGAAATGTGTCTATAATCACTGCTAGACATGTTAATAAAGATGCCATCAACACTTTGGGAGAGCAGCGATTTGCAGTGGAGCACAAACTATCATTGACTACCTTTTACTGTGAAGATACTGTTGCTCCAATTGCTGACTTAGATGAGGTTAAAGGGAAGAAAAGAGCCACAAAAGTAAGGCTAGAGGAGAATCTTCAAAGAATTTTGTGGGAACAACCTGCATGTTCTGTTGAAAAGAAGATTCCAGCTAAGTTAAATTTATGCAAAGGGCTACCTGTCATGTTACGAGATAATAGTGCAACTGAGTTATGCATGACAAATGGACAAGAAGGCACTTTATATGATTGGGTATCTACAACTGGTGTGTATGGGCAGTTGGTACTGGAAGTTCTGTTTGTTGAATTGAGCAATCCACCAACTGATGTGCAATTTGATAGTTTGCCACTTAATGTAGTGCCCATCTTACGTACTGCCACTCCCACTTGGTGTGATCTGCCATCTGGAAAGAGGTTGCATGTATCCAGAAGCCAAGTGGAGGTCACAGTCAATTATGCTATGACAGATTTTGCATCTCAGGGAAAGACCAGAGTGAACAATGTTGTCCATCTGAATGATACAACAAGCCATCAAGGGTATTATACTGCACTTTCCCGGAGTGCTACAGCAGCTGGGACATTGATCCTACAAGCTTTTAATCCTTTAGTCATCTCTGATAAAAAATGTTCTGGTGCTTTGCGTCAAGAATTTCGTGATCTTGAACTACTTGATGACATAACATGTTTGCGATTTAAAGGAAAACTTCCTGCCTTGGTTGTTGGTGAAACAAGACGAACTTTGATACATTCATTCAGACAACATAAATCAGAATCATATGTTCCCCGTCATGTACATAGTGCTATACGTTGGAATAAAAAACAGCCTTACGTTGAGCCAGATTTTAATGACTTGCAGTGGAGTATTCTACCCACTCAGCATGTAGCAAAATTCCTTCCAGATGAATTTGTAAAATGTATGAAGGAAAAGACTGATGCATGGAAAGATGGAGATGTTGGCAAAGTTGAGCAAGTACAGCCTGATGTGTCTCTGGCCATCTCTAGTGCACCAAACCACACCCTTGATGTCAAATCAAACAAGGGTAATAATCATCTAAAACGGGGTATTTCAGATAATCTGTTATCTATCCAATCTGTGGCCAAAGTGCAGAGAAAACGTGCAAAGGTCTCAGCTTATACTGATGCAGATGTGCATAATCATCCAGCCATTGATTGCCTAATACCTGTTGGTTGTCAATGGAGTGATAATAGCTGTGCCTATGATACTGTTCTTTCTCTCTTGTATAATACATGGCTAGACAAGCCCTCATCTGGATTTCCTGAAATGTCCAACAGCCTATTTCCAGTTCTTATAAAGTGTTTCAGGCAGGTAAATCACAGCCAAGAGAGGCTCACTGATGTTCGTGAGTACTTGCGACAGGCTCTGAATGTACAAAAGCCTAATGACTTTAAGTATGGTGAGTATGCCTCAGTGTCATCCATTCTGGATGTGATTCTTAGTGCTGCTGATACTTATGTTGCTATGTCATATAACTGTGCTGCTGGCCATTGTAGCTCTACAACATCTGCTTCATATGCTAGCTTTCTAGTATCACTAGAAGGGACTGTCCATGACTCAGTCGCAGCGTGGTGTTCAAGCCAAGGTTCAAATACACGTCGGTTATGTGTAGTATGCTCAGAAAGTGTGATGGTAAAGCAAGTGTATAAATACCCACCATATCTCATTGCCTTTGACTTTGCTGCAAGTGCTGTCCATCTGGATCACAAGATAACCTTAAATATTCAAGATATTGATGTGTTGTACAATCTCAAGTGTATTATTTACTATGGCAGATCCCATTTCATTGGCAGATATATTGATAAGAGCGGGAAGATCTGGGTGTATGATGGTATGTCTAACTCTGGTTTCATGGAATATGATACTGATCACTCAGACTGTGACCTCTCCACATGTAGATCCATGGAGGCAATTGTTGCTGTGTATGCTCGATCACCAAGAGTTCACATTCAAGGTGGAGGCCAGCTGGATTGACATGAATAAACCCCTCATAGCCATGTATCATATGTGTGTTAAACCTGTACCCCTCATAGTTATGTGTCATATGTGTATTAAACATGTCCCTGCACCTTAAAACATCAGTACTGGATCAGTTCTCAGCTTCAAGGTAATGCAAAGGAGGACCCGTACATGCCATGCGGAGCATTGGCCCACACCTCCAAGTTCAACTTGTTGGCCCATGTTGGTCCACTGTCCTCGTTTTCGGAACTCGACAAGAATACAACCGCTTCAGATCCTTTGCGGGAGTATCTGACGCCAAACGACCTCCGACGATCAAGTCTACACAGATAGACGACCCACCAAAACTTTCTAGATATCGAGATCTGTATGGTAATCATTTTATATTCTCTTGTCGTGTATGTACACGCGAGCGATTGAGGCTCCGTTAGGCCTGCCGAATTAAGCTCAGTAATGTCTGAACTATATAACACGGTGCGGCTCAATAAAAATGATTGGCGAAATCTCTACTAATCATGCCTCCGCATCGTGAAACTACACCACGTCTGGGGTACCGAACTATGCTATTCACTCTCAGGATGCAGAGTCTATCCGGACTAGCCTACGATTGGAGCTCGCCTCGAATATCGTTGAGGATCAGAAGGCTATATCCGGCCGCCTTGGCCTGGAATTAGTCTCTTCGCAGCTCGTGGATGATTGCCACAGCCAACTGCTTCGGGACAAAAAGGATGATATTGAAAGCCTGCAGGACATCGTTGCGAGAGCAGAGAGCAAGAGTGACAACGCGAATGTCAAATTGAAGGAAGAGTTTGAAACACACATGTACAAACCTCTAGTATGTCTTTTAGAATTGTTCTGTCTTTTTTTCATTAGCTCAATGATCGTAGGTCGACATTATCGATTACATCGCATCCTTCGGAGGGTCTACGCCAAAACGACGGTGGATCCACTCAGAAGCACATGTGATAGGAAACGGTATGCCCTACTCCAAGCCCGACTTGAGACTTGGTGATCCATCTGGTGAGCTGAAGACTTGGCGAGACCTCGCTGCGTTTGGAGAAGTGAAGCCAAAAGCCGTGCAGGGCATGGCTCCGGGACAGGCTATCAAGGGTTCCGATGCCCTCGTCGAGAGTAGCGATTACGCCCGCCTGCATCTAGCGGGCTCTCCCTTTCGGCTTTTCTCCATTGCACTCATGATCACCGGCAATAACTTCCAAGTCGCCATCTTCGACCGAGCTGGTGTCGTCGTGTCTCCTGCCGCGAATATCTGGACAGATACCAAAACCTTCATTCGGGTCATTCGTAGACTCTCATGCAATCTCTCGCATATTGAAATGGGTTGCGACCCGTCCGTCTTCGAACTACCATCCCATGCCGAATTGTACCCTTTGATTCGAAAAAAGGCGAAGTCTTTGGGTGTTCCACGCGATTCTCTTGATTACCCGTCGTTCCTTGTCCAATGCCGTAAGCGCATCTCCACGCTCGACGGTATGGATACTCGTTCCCGCCCCGACCGTGACCGAGATGATTGGGAAACCCACGAATGGCTGACAATCGGTCCCCCCGTTTGGGTTTCTCTATCGCTACTTGGACGTGGGACCAGTATTTGGCGTGTCATGCCCTATAAAGAAGGTGACTTCGATTCCAGCGCCGAGGTGTGTATCCTGAAGAATACATGGCGAAATAGCCGCCGTGTCTCGGAATCAGAAATATACGAGACAGTTGAAAGGGGGCCCGATGGAGTCGCCAACTTCCACTACGGTGGCGATGCTGTCTTTCCGTGGATAGCGACTTCACCGGCGATTAGCGTTGTAAATCTTCGTAACACGGATTATCGCATCAATCGCGCGAACCTTCTGGATATCCCTACCCATCGTTCCATCGACCCCACGCCTATGTTGCACCGGCTCATCCTCAAGACTGTCGGACGCCCTCTGTGGGATGCCCTTGATTACATTGACCTTCTTAAAGGCTTTCGGGCTGCTCTGCTTGGTATGTTCAATATAAATCTCTTCTAAACCCTTGAGGAAATCAACGCCGACCTATAGGCCATGCGAAACTATGCAAGCAAGGCATACTTCATCGCGATATTAGTGCTGGCAATATACTCCTCGCTGTCGGGGCTGCTGAAGAGGGAAAAGAAGGATTTATCACCGATTTGGAATTTGCCCGCCTTCGTCAGATCAGACAAACTCGAACGAGGGTCAACGATGACGGGACGGAGACCATGGCCAAAGCTTGGACTGACACGACGCGCGGGTTGTTGATGACTGTACGATCTTCTCCAGTGCCATCTCAAATTGTCTCACTGACCAGTTCCCTAGGGGACTGTCCAGTTTATGGCAACTGCAAAGCTCAATGCATTTCGCGGTACACCGAGCGCCGCTAGATTCACCGACCAGGTCAATCACGACCTCGAATCCTTCATTTGGGTCTTCGCGTACACCGTCATGCGGCGACTCATGATCGAGAAACGCTTGGATTCAGATTCTAGAAAGCACATTCATCAATGGTTCAAAGAATGCTTCTGCAGTTTGTCCATTGCGACTATAATCCCGAACCGTATTGCACGTATACCTCTCAAGCTACCAATTCCCATCGACCACGGCATCCTTCCTGACCCCATCCAGGATCTCCTTGCGTGGCTCGACGAAAGGGTTCAGTACAACCAGCCTGCTAATGAGCGCCTCGCAAAATTCAAGAATCAGGGACGCAATGTGATTCTCATTGTTCGACCGCTCACCCATGAGCTATTGCTCGATCCCATAGAGACAATGATCTCCGAATTACAGTAGCTTGGGCACTGAATCCATGCCGAGCATACTCACAAATTCTTTCGTATCCTTTTGTGGCTCTCCTCCTCTGTGTTTTACTTGTTTTGGTATTGTCCGTCGCGTCTCAGGTGGGATGAATAATGCGGAAGGATGGCGTGTATACTACACCGCGACCAGTGCTGTATTCAACGTGAACGATTTACCCCGGAGCCAACGTACGTTCGCATAAGTCATCCCCACTATCACAAGGACCGTTTTGCTTCCGTTGTGCTCGCAAACGCTGCATCGGGGAGTGAATGAACGGTGAGAGTGAGGTTTGAGTTGAGAACCAATATGTCAGGGCCCGTTAGCGAAGAGAAGAAGAAATTGCTGAGGCAGTCAGTTGACACGCTAGAGCGAAGGAGAGTAGGCGCCGGCGAACTTTTAGTTTGCTGCTATGAGTTAGTCGCCAGTGACAATCATCCACGACCACAAAACGGCTCGATCGCTTGGCCCTAGCACTCCAACTCAAGGCTAAACACCGATGCGCTCGCTGGCAGGGTTCGACGTTAGATCCACAATTGATCTACAGACCACAAGTAGTATGGATCATCTTACGCTGTTTTCTGGCTCTGATACTTGGTAGGGTGGAAGAAGTCACTATATTCGTTGCGGATGAGGTAGAATCACCTAGCTAATGAGAACGACGGACCGCGTACAGCGTCGTTGGTGCTGGACACGTTCGGGAGATCGACATGATATTATTCCTGGAGCTAGCCTGAACGTTCACGGCGCACGTACGTTTCTGTTCTTCTCCTTCGCGGTACTGCCTTCTGGTTTCTTTCTTATACACTCAGATTCTGGAGGGGCGACTATCTGCGCTCGCCGACGTGTTGCCTCGTGTGAATCTAGGAAAGGTGGTAGGTGCACTGTGAAATATACTCTCGCGATTTACTGAAGAGAGGGTGTCGCTGACACAGACGTATACATCTATAAGGGAGTCATCTGACATCCATTCGACGACATGCGGTATCGTGGTGTTTCCATAGTTGCCGTTGCGCATTTCGCTCGTAGCTTGCAGCCACGGCAAGTTGCTGCCCGTGGGGCCATACGGGTCTTTGCGTTGACGAAAGTGCACTCGTGTCGCTACTACGTTGTGAACCCAATGGACTTCGAGGTCCCGAGATCCATCGATGTCCCTCTTTTTCTTGTTTTCCGTTCATTCGCCTCCACTCCGTTTCCGTATGACTTCTCCTAGATAAAACCTTAGCCACTCCAGCGCCGACCGTGACGGCCCTCAATGTTCAACATTAATGTGTTTCGCCTCTATCCCCTAAGTTCTCCAATTCCCCAGCCGTGTACTCTGGTTTGCTTTCCATCCAGCCCTCGTCGCAACTCTCGTCGACTCCCCATCCGGCGCCCATATGCTCGCTGTCTCTCCTCAAGCAGATCAACGTTTCCTGCATCTCGTTGCGTGGAAGCACGGCTATCTTTCCTCCTAGTTCACACTCCCTTTGAACGTCAACATCTCATACGGATCTCCTCGCTCTCCCAGGCTCTCTAGTTCAAATTTGTGCCACCACAACGCTCCATCTATGCTGCACGTTCTAATCCCGACGCTCCACCGCTCCCGCTCTTCACTATGCTGGCTACAGCTAGCCCGTAGAATGCAGTCAAATGCAAGTCCGAAGCACGAGAGGCTCATCGAACACGAACGGATCTGCCCCACACGGATGCGACTTTCATTTACAGCAGTTTCGTACCATTCTTATGAAACCCACCATTCTATTTGGGAGTGACCGGTGTGATCCGTCAGTCTAAGATGGTAGGCCACGCCGCACTGGTCTGCTAAGTGTGCCACGTAGTCAATATTCTCCATCACAATTCGCACCCTAGTATAACTAATTGGCGAGACATGGCCGCCCCCACCACGAATTGAGTGTAGGCTGTGCATACCGCCTGTTGTCAAAATATCACTGTCACGCTTGAACAGCGGGGCCAGCCCAACGCATTGAGAAGATGGCTATATAAGCACCCTCGCCGTCTTCGTTTCAACTCATCCCTCAATACTCTTTACGTCACTAAGTACATATTCCATTCTTTTATCTATGAGATGCCGTTCGTTGACTTAAAGTGACAAATAGAGAGGAACACCATGCGCATATCATTGATTCTCGCTGTCGCACTTGCCTTGACCGTCGCAGGGGCCCCGATCCATACGGACCTCGAGGTTCGCAAGGAACCTCCCACTCCAGGTTGCTTGGACGTCGCGAAATACCTATGCGCTGTTGCGGTGAACAAGGTGTCTAATCTCGTTACTGGCAAAAAGGGGTCGGCACCTGGCATGGGGTTCACTGGTTGAAGTACATGTATGGTGTCATAAATCAGCTCCGGCCATATATAGACACTTGTGGGGTGATTTTTAAACTTGTCGAAGACTTCAGCCCGGCTAGACCGACTCGACATCGAGAAACTCTAACGACACAAGACCGCGAAGATCATGGAAGACTCACGCAAACATGTACACAAAGCAATCTCAGACATCTGCGTATGCCCACTGTGGCATCCTTCGCATTGCACTGCACTCCATTTTCCAGCGTGGCAATCAACTCCTTCGCAAGTCCACCGCACTTCTAGAAAGTGAGTGCCTCCAGCGCCGTTTCACGCTGATCCATCCAATGGGTCAATTACTCCACCAACTCTGCATCAATCAATGCCCTCTCGTATGTTATTCGTTTTACGCCGGGGAAAACGTTTGCTATGTTACCTTCGAACAAAAAGGCGTGCCCATTGCGAAGGGTTAAGTCCGTGATGGTGGGGGAATTATAGAGTGGGAACGGCGGAGAGAGTCGGGAAGACTGCTGTCGTGTAATTGAGAATGTTGTCTGGTATGGACACCCTACACCCATTGAATGCTCATTCGCGATCCGTAGAAGCTTCCCGGAAACAAATCTTCCGTCGACGACCACTCGTTGCCCATGAAAAGGATGTCGATGTCACGCCCGTGGTTTCGACAAGGAATTTAGCGGCATGGACGATATTTTCGCGGACATCAAGCCGTGGGCAGGAGATACGCAGAATCGAAAGATTAGGGCAGGAGATGCAGTCAAGTATTTGACTGAAATCAGTTGTGAAGTCGATGCGCGTGAGGTGGATCAGGCGAATGGCCTTCGGAACAGACAGAGGCAGGTCATGGGCTGGCTTATGGGATCCATGCCCGGCATACATGGGTTACGTAGAGCGAAAGGCGTCGTCCCGAGTGACTCGCAAAGATAATCCTGAATATCTGCCAAAGGAATCTCAACGGGAAGAGTCCGAGTCGCACTGCAGCGTAAATTAAGCTCCTCTGCGCGTTTTCGACAGATCTCCTGTTGTGTCGGAGTCGCTGGGGGTTCCATAGACGGTTCGAAGGAAAATGCAGGAAAGGCGCGTGCAGCGGTTGATCTATCAGGATCCCGGGTTTTACCTAGGTGCCTTGAGTTGAACCGCTCTGTTGGCGACAATATCAGACGTACCACCGGTTTAGTATTGAGAATTGGATCGTCAGTGTCGACTTGTGAGTCAGACCCACCAAGATGTTCCAAAGTCCAATCCAGTGATTTTTTCTGATAAGATTAGATCAAGGTTCTCAAGCGCCTTTTTTACTAGAACGAGAAGCTTAAATATTGTCCTTCTTGCCTCTCTCCGTCCGCCTTCACTCCCCGCTCGACACATAATTCCTATGGGGTCCAGAATGACAAGTAGCTCTGCCACGCTTTGGCGCCACTCCTCCCTTTGGCGCAGACCCGCGATTGCGTGATCCTTGCTTCGGAATATCTCCTTGATCAGCAGGTCTGGGATTTCCCAGCCTTGACTGAGCACTCTCTTCCACATACGCCCTCCTTCGCGAACGACAAATCGCCAAATAGATGGCCTCCAACTTCTCCAGCATCCCAATCCTCGACTGGTCTCTTACCCTCGATCCAGCGACGCGACAGCAATTCGTCGGCCAGCTTCGACATGCAGCCATAAACGTCGGTTTTCTTTATCTATCGAATTCTACCGTACCTCAGGGCACAGTGGACACCCTCATCTCGTACATACCAAAGCTCTTTGCGCTGCCTCAGGATACCAAAGAGAAAATCCGCATGGCGAATTCGGAGCACTTCTTGGGGTACTCACGGCTCGGCGCGGAATTCACGAAGGGAAAGACGGATATCAGAGAGCAGTTTGATTTCGCGACCCCTCATGTGAGCAGGTGGAAGCCAGGTGACCCAGATCATTACAGGCTTTGGGGACCATCTCAGGTGTGTAGTGCTTGTTTGCGTGCATCACGGTATCTCGACAGTGTTTCTAGTGGCCAGATGAAGATCTTATCCCTGGATTCAAAGCCGCCATGGAGGAATACCTCTTACAAGTCCAAGAACTGAGCTACGCAGTCGCGAAACTGCTGAGCGAAGCGCTGGGCTTGCCTCCCGATGGCCTGTCCAAATTCTACGACTCCCCCGAGCTTATGCAGCATAGAAGCAAGATCGTCAAGTATCCTGTTGTTGATACTTCCTCTCAGTCAGATCAGGGTGTCGGCCCTCATTACGACGCGGGTTTCTTGACTATTGTACGGTTGTTCTTAGAATTCAGACGCCGTCGATCGCTGATGCGAGCGACTATAGCTTCTACAAGCATCTGACCATCGAGGCCTTCAAGTGCAGAACCTATCCGGCCAGTGGATCGACGCACCTCCCATCCCAGGAACATTCGTAATCAACTTTGGCAAAGGTACGTTCACGCACCTTCAGCCCCAATCGTCTGATACTGATACCTTCCTTAGCGATCGAGTTCGTTACCCAAGGCCTCGCGAGGGCCACATCCCACCGCGTTGTCTCACCGAAAGGAACCACACCTCGATATTCCATCCCCTTCTTCCAGAACATCAGTCTCGACGCGCGACTCGCTGAGAGCGTTCTACAATGTAAGTTGCTCCCTTGCGTGTCCATTCTTTCTGGCGTTCATGTGTATTCGGTTTCTCCCTTCCGACTATCCAGTCCCGCCAGAAATACTGAAGCTGCGGGAGCTGCGAGGGGATGTAGCTACTACTGAATGTACGGTCTACTCCCTTAGATAATGTCTGTGGACTATAATCTCCTCTTACCTCCCCGCCTCTTTTTAGCCGTTAACTTCTCTGAATTCGACCGCGAGCCGTCAGGGAAAGTTAATCTCATTGGCCGTGTCAAGTGCGTTCCCTTTCTCCTTTAAATACCCAGCATCTGGTATTGATATCAACGCTTGCTACTACGCTTATAATATGATAGGAGTCACCCAGACGTTGCGCAGCGGCATTACCCAGAGTTATTTGCCCAGATCTTTCCACAGGGCTTACCGGCTCACGGCAGCGCATACTGATAGTCAGAGACGCGTAGGGGTCGGGCATCGTAATGATCCTTCTATGTCTCTTGGTAGTAGTGGAAATATACTAAACCAGCAGCGGTGGATAGTTCGTGCCACCAAGCGCCTGTAATCCAACCCTCGTTTCCTTCGCGCTCGGATTCTGTTTTACTGAAGGTTCATGTCTCCCGGGCGACTTCAACGGTGGTGTTGTGGGCGTTGTGGCATACGTGTAGACAGGGCTTCATGAATAATGAGGCGCTACTTGCTACGGCCGTCGTTCTTGGCTTGCAAAAGGAAACCAACTATCGATCTCTTGGTTCCATCAATTATGAAGTCCCTTATTTGATGGTTGGGATACCCTCATACTTTGTAGTGTCGCTTCACCTCTCCGGTTACACGTTGTCTCGTATCCCATGTGTACCAAGAACACATGCACAGATAAAAATGATGCTTCGTACGCGCTAAGTTGCTGACAATTATTTCCTTTTTCTTATCACCGTGGAGTGACAATTACTTCCGAAGTGGTTGGTCCATGCCGGTCCACTGTGACTGTCCTCGTGCTCGACACTCGAAGTGAAGACGAACTGTTTCAGCTCCTTTGCGGAAATATCCAACGCCATACGACCTCGGACGATTAAGTCTACGCAGACAGGACCCCCCAAAAATCCCAGATACCGAGATCTATCTAGTATTCATTTTCTCTTGCGTGGCCTGTCGTGTATGCACATCATAGTGATTGAGACTCAGTTAGGCTGGCCAAAAAACAACTTTAGCTATGTCTGAACTATATAACCCGGTGCGGCTCGATGAAAATTGACTGGCGAACTATCTGCTAATCATGCCTCCACGTCGCGAAACTACACCTTTTACAACGCCGCCAACCACTGATATATCTTCTCCTTCTGCTCTGGATTCTGGAGTACAGAACTTTGCTATCTACTCTCAGGATGCTGAGACTATCCGGACTAGCCTTCGATTGGAGCTTGCCGCCAATATCATCGAGGATCAGAAGGCTATATCAGGCCGCCTTGGCCTGGAATTAGTCTCTTCGCAGCTCGTGGATGATTGCCATAGCCAGCTGCTCCGGGACAAAAAGGATGATATTGAGAGCCTGCAGGACATCGTTGCGCGAGCGGAGAGCAAGGGCGACAACGCGAAGGACGACGCCGCGTTTAAAATACACATGTACAAACCTCTGGTCTGTCCTTTTTATCTGTCCGTCGCATTTATGATTCTCACGATATCTTTAGGTCGATATCATCGAGTTCATTGCGTCCTTCGGAGAGTCCAAGCCGAAACGACGGTGGATCCACTCCGCAACATGCATAACAGGAAAGGAAATGCCCTACTCCAAGCCCGACTTGAGACTTGGTGATCCATCTAGTGAGCTAAAGACTTGGCGAGACCTCGCTGCGTTTGGTGAAGTGAAGCCAAAAGCCGTGCAGGGCATGGCCCCGGGACAGGCTATCAAGGCTTCTGATGCACTCATTCAGAGTGGCGATTACGCCCGCCTGCATCTGGCGGGCTCTCCCTTTCGGCTGTTCTCCATTGCACTCATGATCACCGGCAATAACTTCCAAGTTGGTATCTTCGACCGAGCTGGTATCGTCGTGTCCTCTCCTGCGAACATGTGGACGGACATCAAAACCTTCATCCGGGTCATCCGTAGACTCACATGCGATCTCTCGCATATTGAAATGGGTTGCGACCCGTCCGTCTTCGAACTACCACCCCATGCCGAATTGTACCCTTTGATTCGAGAAAAGGCGAAGTCTTTGGGTGTTCCACGCGATTCTCTTGACTACCCGTCATTCCTTGTTCAATGCCGCAAGCGCAACTCCACGCTCGACGGTATGGATACCCGTTCCCGCCCCGACCACGATCGAGATGACTGGGAAACCCACAAATGGCTGACAATTGGTCCCCCCGTTTGGGTTTCTCTATCGCTACTTGGACGTGGGACCAGTATTTGGCGTGTCATGCCCTATAAAGAAGGTGACTTCGATTCCAGCGCCGAGGTGTGTATCCTGAAGAATACATGGCGAAATAGCCGCCGTGTCTCGGAATCAGAAATATACGAGACAGTTGAAAGGGGGCCCGATGGAGTCGCCAACTTCCACTACGGTGGCGATGCTGTCTTCCCATACACGACTGCTGCCATCAGCGTTACCAATATCCGTCAGGTAAATTATCGCGTTAATCGCAGGGGTCTAACGAATGTCCCATCCCATCGCTCCGTCGACCCCACGCCTATGTTGCATCGACTCATCCTCAAGACTGTCGGACGCCCTCTGTGGGATGCCGTTGACTACCTTGATCTTCTGAAAGGCTTTCGTGCTGCGTTGCTCGGTATGCTCAATATAGAAACCTCTTTTAAATCTCTCATCCATCAACTCGACTCTGATCTATAGGCCACGAAGCACTATGGAAGCAAGGGATACTTCATCGCGATATTAGTGCTGGCAATATACTTCTCGCTGTCGGGGCTGCTGAAGAGGGCAAAGAAGGGTTTATTACCGATTTGGAATTCGCCCGCCTTCGTCAGATCAGACAAACTCGAACGAGGGTGAACGATGATGGCACGGAAACCGCAGCCACAGCATGGGCTGATACGGCGCGTGGGCGGTTAATGACTGTAATCATCCCCTTCCCCCAGTGCCGTCTCATTGTCCGACTGACTGATTTCTCAGGGCACTGTCCAGTTCATGGCCATAGGAAAGCTTCATGCAGTTATTGGTACACAGAGTGTTCCAGGGTTCACCGACCAGGTCCATCATGACCTCGAATCCTTCATTTGGGTCTTCGCGTACACTGTCATGCGCCGACTCATGTCCGAGAAGCGCCTGGACTCGCAATCTACTAAGCATATCCATAAGTGGTTCAGGGAATGCTTCTGTAGCTTGTCCCCCTCGGTTGTGGCCTCAAATCGTGCGGCATACAGACCTCTCCAGTTGCCCTGTTCCATTAGCGATGATATCCTTCCCAAGCCCATCAAGAAACTCCTTGCTTGGTTTGTCGAAAAGATTCAGTTCAACCAGCGTGCTGTTGATCTCCTTGAGGAACTAGCAGAAGACGGAGAAGATGTTGTTGTCATTGTTCGACCACTCACCCATCCGACCTTGCTTAGACCTGTAGATGTCACCATCTCAGCGTTGAATTCGCTTCGGCACTGAGCACTCTGCACACCTGTAGCTGAAGTAACACATCACATACTCTATTCATGGTACACCCTCAATACATGAAGCCCGCTAGATTACGAGACCGGAATGGAATGGAGGCTAGTTACAGCTAACTGCAAAATCGTAGACACTTCCTGGAAAAAATGAGATATATGAGTCAGCATACTCAACATGGTAATCTCATGAGGGCCGGCTTCCCGCCAGAGACTTGGTGAGCTACGGCAGTGTCGATACGTTGCGTGTTCGCCAGGTGTTCGCCGACGTTGCAAGGTTTGATGTTTGCAAGTAGAAAGCTGGTCATACATGCAAGGTTGGCTGGATGGTATGGACGTTGGTTGTGTCGAGAACTACGTCGCCTCGGAGAGTGAGGCTTTGCGGAAGTCTCCGGGGCCATTCGACCTCCAACGATCAAGACAGACCCCCCCCCGCCCAAAAATTCAGATTTTGAGATCTGTCTGGTAATCATTTTCTCTTGTCATATATGTACATGCAAGTAATTGAGACTCCGTTAGGCTGGCCGAACTAAGTTCAGTCATGTCTGAACTATATAACACGGTGCGGCTCAATAAAAAATGATTGACAAAACCTCTACTAATCATACTTCCGCGTCGTGAAACTACACCACTTACCACACTGCTCATCCCTGCTGTGGCGTCTCCCCGCTCTCTGTCGTCTGGGGTACAGAACTTTGCCATTCACTCTCAGGATGCAGAGTCTATCCGGACTAGCCTACGATTGGAGCTCGCCTCGAATATCGTTGAGGATCAGAAGGCTATATCCGGCCGCCTTGGCCTGGAATTAATCTCTTCGCAGCTCGTGGATGATTGCCACAGCCAACTGCTTCGGGACAAAAAGGATGATATTGAAAGCCTGCAGGACATCGTTGCGCGAGCAGAGAGCAAGAGTGACAACGCGAAGGACAGCTTGAAGGAAGAGTTTGAAACGCACATGTACCAACCTCTAGTATGTCTTTTTGAGATTGATCTGTTTTTTTTTCGTCTGACTAGCTCAATAACTATAGGTCGACATTATCGATTATATCGCATCCTTCGGAGGGTCCACGCCAAAACGACGGTGGATCCACTCAGAAGCACATGTGATAGGAAACGGTATGCCTTACTCCAAGCCCGATTTAAGACTTGGGGATCCTTCTGGCGAATTGAAGACTTGGCGTGACCTCGCTGCGTTTGGTGTAGTGAAGCTGAACGCCGTACAGGGCATGGCTCCGGGACAGGCTATCAAGGGCTCCGATGCCCTCGTCCAGAGTGGCGATTACGCCCGCCTGCATCTAGCGGGCTCTCCCTTTCGGCTTTTCTCCATTGCACTCATGATCACTGGCAATAACTTCCAAGTCGCCATCTTCGACCGAGCTGGTGTCGTTGTGTCTCCCGCCGCGGATATCTGGACGGATACCAAAACCTTCATTCGGGTCATTCGTAGACTCACGTGCGATCTCTCGCATATTGAAATGGGTTGCGACCCGTCCGTCTTCGAACTACCATCCCATGCCGAATTGTACCCTTTTATTCGAAAAACGGCGAAGTCTTTGGGTGTTCCACGCGATTCTCTTGACTACCCGTCGTTCCTTGTCCAATGCCGTAGGCGCATCTCCACGCTCGACGGTATAGATACCCGTTCCTGCCACGACCACGATCGAGATGACTGGGAAACCCACAAATGGCTGACAATTGGTCCCCCCGTTTGGGTTTCTCTATCGCTACTTGGACGTGGGACCAGTATTTGGCGTGTCATGCCCTATAAAGAAGATGACTTCGATTCCAGCGCCGAGGTGTGTATCCTGAAGAATACATGGCGAAATAGTCACCGTTCCTCGGAGTCAGAAACATACGAGACAGTTGAAGGAGGCCCCGATGGGGTCGCCAACTTCTACTGCGGTGGCGATGCTGTCTTTCCATGGGTAGAAACTTCGCCTGCCATCAGCGTTGTAAATATCCGTAACACGGATTATCGCATCAATCGCGCAAATCTACTGGGTATCCCCAATCATCGTTCCATCGACCCCACCCCTATGCTGCATCGGCTCATCCTCAAGACTGTGGGACGCCCTCTTTGGGATGCCGTTGATTGGATGGAACTCATGAGGGGCTTTCGGGCTGCCTTACTTGGTGCGTTAGATTCTGGTCTCGTCTAAGCTCGTCGTTACGCCGAATCCATAGGCCATGGTAAATTATGGGCACAAGGCATACTCCATCGCGATATCAGTGCCGGAAATATACTCCTCGCTGTAGGGGCTGCTGAAGAGGGTCAAGAAGGGTTTATTACCGATTTGGAATTCGCTCGCCTTCGTCATATCAGGCAAACCCGAAGGGGGGTGAACGAAGATGGTACAGAAACGATAGCCAAAGCATGGACTGATTCACCGCGCGGATTGCTGCTGACTGTAGGGCCTTCTCTCACAACGCCGTCTCTGATTGCCCCAACTGACAATTCACTCAGGGCACCGTTCAATTCATGGCAATTGAAAAACTCACGGCAGTTGTTGGTCGGCCGGGCGGTTCTGAAAGTGACGACAAGCTCCATTATGACCTCGAATCCTTCATCTGGGTCTTCGCGTATACCGTCATGCGCCGCCTTATGGCCGAGAAACGCTTGGACGCGGCTTCAACCAAACGCATCCATAAATGGTTCAAAGAATGCTTCTGCAGTTTGTCGATTTCGACTATAATCTCGAATCGTACTGCACGCATACCTCTCCAATTACCAATCTCCATCGGTGACGATATCCTTCCGCAGCCTATCCAGGATCTCTCCACACAGCTAAGCCAGATGGTTCAGTTCAACCAGTCGGCTGATGAATACGCCAAATTAGCCAAAAAGGGACGGAAGGTTATAGTGCTAGTCCAGCGACTCACACACCAGTCTTTGATTGAACCCATAGATTTCACAATCTCCGAGTTGCAATCACTTGAGAGTTGATTTATTCTTTCAGCATTCTCTCTCTTATGCCTGTTTCAACTATTGTTAGTCACTTCAAACCCACCATTTGTTCCTCTAATACGACTTGACGCTCGATGTTTCCATCAGGGTGATGTATCGCCGTGGGGCGGAGGGACTTTCAAGCAAAGAGCTTACTCGGAATATTGAACAGCCCATATTCGAGTGTCTACGCTACAACTTTCCATAAAGCCAGTACGCACGTGTCCCTTCGTCGCCATCAAGACAGCACAACGTGCACAGCTGGACCGTTTGTAGCAACAGAGTGTAGGGTGCAGAATTGATTGGTCTGATCATTATCTCCTAGATCCTGTAAGTGGAGTCGAAACGAATGATCGCAGGAAGACCACGAGAAGTATTGGAAAAGGGTCGCCGGATAGGCCGACATAGGAGGAAGCGAAGAAGTGGTAACGACCGTTTTGGCTATTTGAGGGACTCGATCGATAAGGCAACTGCCCAGTCCCTCGAACGCGAGATCATAGCTAGGTCACTATTGATGGAGGTGCGATGGGATCGAAGTGGTGTGAAATTGCGAACATTGGAGCATGTCTGCTAGCGGCGGTTCTGTGATACGTCTACAATGTGGTGTGAGCGTGGAAACGACCCCAATTTCTTGAACGTATAGTTGCGTAGTGTGAAGCACAATAGGGACAGTGTGGGGAGGACGAAGCATCGAATTTCAAAAGGTGACGATAAAATAGAGACGGTTGAAACACAATGTAAATGAGCGAAGCTAGGCGTACCTATACCGTCCTCACTACTCAGTAGAAAGAATGGTACAGGCCGGCTCTTGCTTCGAGACAGGGGCCCTAGTAGATCGACGGGAGCGGAGAGCTAGATGAAGGATAGCGAGTGGCGGTAACGCGCCATATGGTCAGTCCCAATTTATGTTCTTGGAAATGATGGTCGGCGTACAGTGGCTATGAAGAGTGGAGCTTCTGAAGACAGGTTCGAGGTCCCGCTCAGGGCACCGGCGCCTCATCTGACGGTGTCCAGCTGAAACCTACGGAAAGAAATTGTTAATAACGACCACAGGTACCTCCGAAGTCGTGCACTGATTCTTCAATGCTTCACGTTCAACGACACAGTAGAAATGTATGGTTGAAACGTTGACATGTAAAGGTGCTGTCTTTCCGATTCTCCGAACAAAACACATGGTGTAAAAGGGACATTCGATCGGCCTTCAAATATTGGGCGGTTTACGATACGTCGCCTAAAGTTAGAAGCGATAGACTTTGTTTCGGTTCAGGTTCAAGGCCTGGTGGCCAATGCAGAACAATGTATTGGCAGCGCTTAGCAGTAACGAAAGGCTAGAAGTTCTTGTTGTATTTCATTTCCGTCTCAAAGCAACATCAAACATTGTGCTTACTGCTCCTTGCTTGCTACAAAGCAATCAATTGGTCACAAGCAGTGAGACGCAGGCTGAGTTGACAGCGCCTGGCACCCAGATCAGATGATCACCCAACGGCTCGGAAAATGCGAACAGGAGAAAATAAGCATTTCCGTGACCGGAATATCATAGTGAAGTGTTGCCCACAACATGTAAGTTTTGCGACGATCATGTTTCAGTGAGCGGGTCGAAAATTTCGAGCATTTTCATCGGGTCGGGTTTTGAGAAGGAACGACTGCCGCCGACGGCCGTGCGCTCGGACGATGGGGTCGCGCGTGGTGTCAAAGTTGACCGTGGGGAAAAGAAAATAGATGTAAATATATGCGTTGTTACGTTTTTGTTTGTTTTTCATCAGTTTTCGGATTTTTATTTGGTCACGCTGTCTCTTCTTGCTCCCATCAATCATCCTCCTCCTCCCCTTCAATCCCACTTCAGACCGAGACAGGGCCCGCCCACATCGACAGCGAGCTCGCAGGAGGACAGCTTGAACGCACACCCGCCAATTCGTCTTCGAAGTCCTCGTTCTTGTTAATTCCTAATCTTCTACTCTTCATTTTTGGGCAAGAATGGGTTGCGTACAATCATCAGGCGTTGACGACGAGGCCAAGGCTCGTACGTATTCCGACTCGTCCTCATGCCTCCAAGGCGGCAACGTCGTTGATTTTCTCTGCAGGCAATGACGAGATTGAGAACCAACTGAAGAGGGATCGAATGATGGCCAAGAACGAGATCAAGATGTTGCTTCTGGGAGCTGGAGAATCTGGCAAGGTGCGTTCCTCCTCCAAAGGGGGAGGTAGTTGACATTGATGGCTGGGACCGTCGCTAGTCAACGGTGCTCAAGCAAATGAAGCTCATTCACCACGGCGGTTACAACGAACAAGAGCGAGATTCGTATAAGGAAATTATATTCTCGAACACTATACAATCCATGCGGTGAGCTACTTATCGTTCTACCCGACCCTGATCAACGGCTAAAGCAGCATGGTCCCATTAGCGCCATCCTCGAAGCGATGCCTCAGCTAGATATTTCTCTTGCGCCGCAAAATGATGCCAGGCGCGCCATAATAATGGCGTTACCGCTGCAAGTTGAAGTCGATGTTCTTCCTCGCGATGTCGGAGATGCTATTCGAGGCCTTTGGCGGGACCCCGGTGTCAAGGAAGCCGTTCGCCGTTCTCGTGAATTTCAGCTCAACGACTCCGCCATCTATTACTTTAATGCTATAGACCGCATGTCGTCGCCTGGGTACATGCCCACGGATCAAGACATCCTCCGCAGTCGAGTCAAGACCACTGGTATTACGGAGACAACCTTCAAGGTTGGCGAGCTTACGTACAAGCTCTTCGACGTCGGAGGCCAACGGAGTGAACGCAAGAAGTGGATACATTGTTTCGAGAATGTAACGGCGCTGGTATTCTTGGTCAGTTTAAGCGAGTACGATCAGATGCTGTACGAGGACGAGAGTGTGGTATGGCCCCTTCTTTCCTGCGCATCTTAGTCATCTCAAGCCCCGTTTCAGAATCGAATGCAGGAGGCACTAACCCTCTTCGACTCAATATGCAACTCCCGTTGGTTTGTCAAAACCTCCATCGTAAGGCTTTCCCCGAGGTCTTCATGATATTGTGACTTCAACGATTGTACAGATTCTTTTCCTCAACAAAATCGATCTCTTCGCCGAAAAGCTACCACGATCACCACTGGGTGACTACTTCCCTGACTACACCGGCGGGGACAACTATGACGCTGCTTGCAACTACCTCTTGAATCGTTTCGTCTCCCTGAATCAGAGTGCAGCTACGAAGCAAATCTACGCGCACTACACTTGCGCGACAGATACTCAGCAGATCAAATGTAAATTGATTTTTCCTGTCCGATATAACCTGAAACACTGATAATCGTCTCCTATTTCAGTTGTCCTCAGCGCTATCCAAGACATTCTTCTCCAGCTCCATCTGCGAGAATGCGGACTCCTATGAGGCTTTCCCCGTGTGCCCTCTCCGCTTTTGTTTCATTTTGTCTGTCTTGCTTCATCGTCTCGGTCCGCCTCTATCTTTGGCCGCATGCATCTATTCTCCTCCATACACACGCTCTCTCTCCGTTCGGTTCATGATCGTTATATTATTTACCTATAGCTGAATTATCGACAATATCGAAATGACCTGCATCCATGACCCGCGCCGAACTACTTCTAAAACCGATCACCCTCCATCCTCCTCTCTACCACCCGCCCTGTTGTCTAGCCAAACGTCGCCGATACCCAATCGCAATACATGCCACCGCTGTACATCATTTGTGTTTCACTTCCTTCCGTCATCCTTTATCCTGGATCTCCATGTATCGTTTGCTAGTCGGCACGCCTTTACCCCCACCCCGACCTTCCTCATCGCATTTGCATACCCATTTGTCGCTGGTTATTTCAATTGCCTTCTTGCCTACCATCTGCGTTTCTTTGATAGTCAATCATTGCTTTGTCATGCGATGGACATCTGATGGTGGCAAGTTGGCAACTTCAACCCGGGCGCGTTTCTCGCGTGGCATCCATCAGGCCTCCATCGCCTATTCCGGCCCCTTGCCTCGTTCAGCTCTTCGAAACATTGGCGTGCCCCATGGACCATACCACATTCATCCCCGTTCACCCATCCTTGGAGCCAGCCGGGACCCGCTAACTATCCTTCATTGTCTGAGGGTTGGTGGCCATGACGTGATGTCGCGGGGATCCTGAGAAGGTTTTACTGCAAGCAGTCATTGGTTGTCTTTCCCTGCAAGCGTTCACACCGCTGAGAGGCGAAATGTGGCGCCCTATGCAGCTTCGACCTTCTCGCAGAAAGAACCCCTCCCCGGGTTCCTGGTACACAGGCCCAGGAACGTAGCGCGCATTTTGTGATTGAGGGACTTTACGTTCTTTTCCCTTCTCTTCAAATTCATTTCTTACTTCTACGTCTTCTTTATATTGTAATTATCGTTTTTTTTGGCTCCTCGCATCGTTTGTTTCCTTGTAGTCGGCGCGGGTGTTCATACTTCTTGTAGGTTTTTGCGGTAGCGTTCGTAGTAATGTTAATACAATCTGGATTTACATAGGATAACTCGCAATTGGAATTGGAATTCATAGAAACCGCTTTGTATTATGATGAGCGGGAGATAGGAATCCAGTAGTACAACAGCCAAGAATGACGGTAGTGATACACTTGATAAAAGAGTTGTACTGCCACCGGTGGTCGGTAAGCTTGATCCAAGTTATTCTTGGGGTATCATTGAGATCAGCCGAGGCCGACCTGTAAAGTCAGAATGTGAGAATGAGAGGTGTCTATTAGGAAGCTTGGAACAGGAGCAGACGATGGGAGAAGGATGATGCTTTGATGTCCATATGGGCGCATAAAGATCCAGTGAGTATCTCATCTACCCGGGCCATTGATGAATACTTATGGTGAGCTTACGCGGTAGAGATCATACGGTCGGGGAAATTGGCGAAGTGGACCATGAGGATTTTCTAGCCGCGGCGACTGATTCTTGCTGGTGAGGGGCGGCACCAATGAGCTTGGGATCTTCGGAGCGACGTTGGGAGAGTTGGAACTGCTTTGGTGTTCGCACCAATCGCAAGCCAGGCCTGACATGGGGACGTATGTAGCTGCGCTGATCTGTAAGGGGTTTTGATGTTGCACATTGATGATTGATAGTGATGGTATGGTGGTGTACTAGTAACCGTATACGCAGGAAGGTTGGCACCAGTCAGAAACACATTTGAGACGTGCGAACCTCCAGGAGCACGGCAGTAATTGTCGATCCGTAGGAGGAACATTCCGTAGTACGTCGGCCCCGGACGCAGTCCGCTGCGGGCGGAGGAGTACAAGCTCAACTTGAGCTCGGCGTGCAGAACCATTGACGATTCGGAAACCTCGCCAAGGTCCAAGCTAAAGGTCCAACCAGTGACATAGGTTGAAATTTTGACTACGAAAAGCGATGTAAGATCGGCATGATCAATGATCAGTGATTTTCGCGAAGTGAGGTGCCCGACCATCGCACCGCTGGTACCTGCGCGAACAACTCGGAGGGATCCTCGTCGGTCGGGCATCAAGATGTACCAACCATCAAAAGTGCTGTGTTTTTGCCTGTGTCATCCTATTTTGAAGTGGGGATTCCGGGCGTACTGAATTGTGCTATACATTGACCGCATCAACTCCGAGTTTAGGGTGACTTTGCCGTCGTATCCGGGTGCTTAACGAATCATTGGGCATACTTATCCGTTCACTGTGTACGTATAGTGACTAATTTGGAAAAAATCGATACGGACTCGCCTTTGTGTAAGGCATTCCTACGGTGCTTTGGTAGAAATGAATCTTGATGTGGACGCGGCGCTAGCTCGGGGACGTACTCAGCAAGTTGCCCTTTATACAAGCTCTGCATCTGCGATAACACGCCACCTACCCAATATCACAGAACTCAGTTCGTTCAATTGAAGCAACCTGAGGTTATCAAGCTACTCAAGTACTAGCCCTTCCATACGTGATACCCGGCACTGACAGGTCTTACCATCGAGTCATCGACCAGACTTGAAGTAAGCATGCGCACTGCGCAGGTGTCAAATTTGGTGTCTTCCACGATCTACAGTTCATACATTGAATTCTTTGCTTTATCCATTTGAGAGTGGCCTTTCTACCGTTGAATGGTGAATATTTGAATATTGAATGGTGAATGGTCCGTTTTGAACATGGTCGCAGGTCGCATCTGAATCACTGATCGTGGAAGCGTGCCGCGTGGGCGCCTCAGGGACCTTTAATCCAATGTACGAAGGATAGTTACTACCTTCAACCCTGTGTCGTCTTATTGACAATATTTACTACTCGCTCTCAGATTTGAGAGAATAGGTCAAGTAACATCACAAGTTCAAGTCTTTATTTAAAGTTTATAGTTTCACGATACACTAATCAACCCAGCAACAAGTTACAACCCAGCATTCAGTCCGCGACTGGACAGCCGTCCTGTAAGTGCTTCTTGTGCTCATTGCCCCACATACAAAGCAGATCTGAGTAGACCTCCTGGATGATCGGTGCAAGTTCCCTGTTCCGAAACGAAGCTTGTTCCTTGGCGGTCAGGTATTCCTCCTCAATCGCCTCTCTATTCTTTAAGTTGACCCACATCAACGCGTCGAAATCTTCCACAAAACTATCGAGCGTGGTCGTATATTCCTGCCTGAGATCAGAATCCACCATCTTTTGCACGTCCGCCAGCCACTCTTCCCGCTGAGGCGATCCTAGGGCATCCGGATCTGAAGGAAAGTGAATCTGCGAAAGTCCACCAACGATGGCGATCTGTGTGTTATTGATGGTCTTTTTCATGTCCTGGATCCTCTTATCCCGCACGACCCGCAGCGAGGACCCCTTGAACTCGGGGGTTGACAGATACGCCCTGGACGACTCGGAGAGCGCCTCGAACGATCGGTCAGCGTTGTGGTAGGCTAGTGGCTCGTATTTGAACTTCTCGAAGTTGAGAGGGCGCGTCTCGATGTTGGTCATTTCAATGAGAGTGTGTGGTTTCGGAGGTGAAGAGAAGACTCCGTTACTGCGCGTCGCGTACTTCGTTGCTTCGCTTGAAGGGACGTTGTCGCGACCTTTCTCCTTCACCCTCCCTTATATACCTTTCGCCACCCATACTTACAATAGCAGTCTCCACGGCAATGCTTTGTGCTGCGGGCAGTGGCCACTCTGCCTGCAGTTCAAAAGCCCCTATTATCTCTGAGAGCATAGGCTAAGGAATTGCATATGGCGCTCCGTCCCACGGCTATTGCCGCACTGAGTATGTTCACCATCCAAGGTCCTGTGATATACGCCTTGCTCCTCGTTGTACCCGTAGCCCTTCTCCTCAGTCGCCGACGCTCCATAAAGGCATCTGCGCCCAAGCCACTTGCAGACGAGACAGACAAGGAAAAAGAGCAGAAACCCGCGAAATCAATCATGCAGCCACCACGAGACGATCTTGTTGCGCCTAAGGAGGATCCATTCACTATCGAACAGCTCAAGGCGTTCGATGGGTCCGATCTGTCTAAACCAATATACGTTGCTATCAAAGGTACGCTATAATAAAGCTTTCTTTGTTGAGGGCCCTTGTTTTCGTTATGAGCCGCCGTGTTTTGTTCAAACAAGATTGACGTAGTGTGGTCTTCTAGGCACCGTGTTTGATGTCTCACACAAGACAGACGTATACGGCCCAGGAAAGTCGTACAACCTCTTCGCTGGGAAGGATGCCTCCAAGGCGCTGGGAATGTCGAGTCTGAAGCCGGAAGATGCGATTTCGGATTATAGCACACTCAGTGAGGGGGACATGAAGACGCTGAATGATTGGCATGCATTCTTTACGTGCGTCTCCGACTTTCTATCGTCTTCCAGTAGTTCACGGCAATATACCTTCTTCCAGGAAACGCTACAATATCGTTGGACGTGTCGTTGACCTCCCACCCCCGAGTGCGCCAACGTCGAACATGTAGAAACGTGAAAGTTACACCTATCAGCTCTCGCTATGTTTATCTTATTCAGGATGCTCAATGTCACTCACTACAACCCGAACATCACGTTATTGAAGTATGCGATATTGGTTAGTTTGAGAGGCCACACCTCGGAAACCAAGGCCGTCGAGGGAGCCAAGGTCGAAGTAGTCAACACGAAGTCTAACGTCTTGATTCTGACGTTGTGCATGGGAGCAGTCGAAGCTGCAGCTACCGCTACCTCCCTACTCAACATCGAACAAGGTTACCACATTCACCCATGTAGAGGTCTCCACGCAAGTTGGCAAAATCATTGGGCAAGGCCAACTGGTTAAAGTGCATGTTTCACCTCGTCAACTTCGACAATTCAAACATGCATGTCAAATGAGTGTGAGGTGGGCACACCCTCAAAGCGAGGACATGGCTTCGATTTTCCTGTGGTTTTGCGTAATTACATCTGAATCAACAGTTACAGCAGTTGCCTAATCTGGCTAAGCTCATGCGGCATGCTCGGCATACCCGCCGAGCCGCGGCAGCACGAAATTACTACCATATTTGGTACTAATTTCGATTCTTACTATCCTGAACGTACTTACAATTACTTACATCGCATTAATTGCCTCAGCTCATATGCAAAACGAGATCTAGCCCAGCAGTCGCCAAATATCATGCCGCGCGGCGTTGTTCCCAAATCTATACGAACACATGGTATCCCTAACGCCTGGCAAACTATATCTCACACTATTGGTGAAACCCGCCTAACAGGAGACCCGGGGGGGGGAGGTTTCTGCACAGTTTGCCGTCAGGGTCCCTACCATGTCGTTCTTGATTAATCCTTGTGGGCGTTCGACAATCCTAGTCGCCGAAATCGGCCAAGCGTCGGCTTATCTATCTGGGTCCCAGGAACGATAAGGGCACTCGTAATAAGCCTTGGCGCTGCAAAAAAAAACCGGCTCACAAGTTGCAAATTTCAGACCGAAAAAGGCTCGTCGCGAGGAAGTGCTCGAGTCGGGCAGCCACCCCCAGACAGCCAAAACCTTTTTGCGATGTTGGGGGAATGATGGTAGGGAACGATGATGGGGGTCATGTGAGCTATCGTCCATGATGGAGCTAAGCTGATGTGGCAACCGGGGAGAAGAGAATAAGTATAGGAGAAAGAAATTGGATATGATGAAAACCAGTTTCTTTCTTTCCTTGTACTACCGTCCACGATACCCCCAGCCGCTGTAGATTGATTGTATTCGTATTCCATGCAGAGAGTCTGGTCCACCTACCTCGACACTGCTGCCCATTCGAGAGCCCGTTCAGCTGGCACAGCAAGTCCGGCGCCCTCCGCCAATTTGGTATGTCTTTTTTGAAAAGGTGTGGGCGCCTAATATGGCGGGCCTCCTGGGCAAGCGCGGCGCTCATCACTTTTACCTCATCTTTTTCACTTTTTCGCCTTCCCTCAACACTGACTCGCTTCACTGCTTCGTAGATGTCAGATAACTCGTACGAACATCCCAATTGATGCCTAATTCTCATTTACATCCTCAACCTAATACTAGCCCTTCCAGACGAGACTCCATTGCTTCACACGCAAACTCTACCTTTTCCAACGCGGCGTCGACCAGACACATGCTGGGCGACATGAACACGCCTCTGGACCGTCCAAATCCACCTTTCTTGACTGCTGGCGGTTCTCAATCGTCGTTGTCTAGAGACCAGTCGCCTGTGCGAGACAGCAGCAGCGTCTCACTTAGCGTTAACTACCTACCTTCAAAGTTCTCTACCGCTTTGCTATCGCCGGGTGGCAGAAGGCGCAAGGGTAAAGGCGATGCCGCGCTCCCCAAGATGGGCGGAGGGGTCGAGGCATTTAGAAGCGGCGAGGCTCGCATGCCGGGAGAGAACGACGAAGACTACGACGGTGTAACCAGCGGCTGGTTCGGCAAGGAGGGAGGGCGTACTCGTCCTAAGGGGCGATGGAACAGATTCAAATGGCTGCTCTTCGTGGCCAACATCTTCGTGCGTAAAAAATTTCATTATACTATCTTGACTGCTTTATTTACCCATCATAGCTCTCTGCTTACTCGCTTATTGGACTCATCTTCTGTCTGCTCACTTGGTTCAACATCTGGACCAACGCCGACGTCGTTCGTGTGGGGAACGTCCCCGAGCTCATCACCTCCACCATCGCTGCCTCGCTAGGCATTGTCACCTCCTTGATCGGGTGGGCCGGCATTCTCCTTAACAACCGCATGTTCTTGGCCGTCTACAGCTTCTTGCTGTGGATCTGCTTCGCCTTCCTCGTCGTGCCAGGCTATATCACCTACAAGAAGCACACATTCAACCTCGAAGGCAAAATCAACGCACAGTGGAGTCGAAACCTCGGCTCGGAAGGTCGCATGCGAATCCAGACGCAGCTGGGTTGCTGTGGCTACTTCAGCCCGTTCGTCGAAGCTACGGTGACGGCGACATGCTACGCACGCAGCATCTTGCCTGGATGCAAGCGGCCGTACATCGAGTTCGAGCGGGTGGTGCTGCAGCGATGGTACATCGTGGCGTTCGCGCTGGTGCCGCTGCACCTGGCGGTGATGATCATCGGGCTGCTGTGCTCGAACCACGTCACGTACCGGTTCGGGAAGGGGATGATGCCCAAGGCGTACCGTCTGAGCATGAACAGCATGGCTGTGATCATGGACAACTACGCCAACCAGCTAGCAGAGCAGTTCGGGTCTGATGTCGCGTCTGAAGTACTCGCGCGTTCGCGAAGCAACCTGAAGCTGGACGCGATGCCTACGATGGGATACAGCACGGCGCAATCGTCTGCGTACAGCAGCAAATACGAACCGATCACTCATAGAAACCACCACGAAGGCTCTTAACTCTCGTCATCATAATACCATACCTCTCCCGTCACTCATTATACAAGCTGGAACGTTATAGTATATATCCCACGCGCTCGTTGCTCGTAGTGTTCGTACTTTGTTTTGTAGCCATGAAGAATTGGCATCCGTTCGTTTAATCTGCGTGACTAAGGACGCGAGATGCTGTGTACATTTTTAGATAAGGGGCGGGCCTCGGTCGTTGTAGGCACAAGGGCGGTACTACTGTATCGGGAAGCGTCGGGACCGATGGCGTGATCTTCATTGCCTTAATAGGCAAAAGGTCGCACCACGTGCTGCCAACGCGTGGCTCTTTCGCTTGGATTTGAATTTGTATGAGTCAGTTGGATGGGTACAAAAGGGGCCCGACGCGGCATCGCGTCCCTAGCCACTTTTACCTTTTTCTTTCACTCCGCTACGAGCGTCGCCACTCGCGATGGTCTCCGTTCGATCCAAGAAAGTTCAGAAGCTTACTTACACCCAACGTACTTATCTCATATTGAGTCGCGTCGTTGCTCACTTGCTGATGGATATCCAGGTGTCTTATCGGCACTCTCGCATATTCAGAAAGATTCTAGGAAACACGCCATTCACCTCGCCACCATTCGCGCGCAGGTTCGCAAGCATGCCGATGCACGCAAGGACAAGCTCGGCCCTCAGTGGGCACATTTCGTCACGAAGGCGGTGCATAAACTCGAAGACGACGGTATCCTCCAGCGCGTAGACGGAGGTCCGACTGGGCAGGTTTCTTTCACGCCTGGCGGAAGGAAATCGTACGTGCGCAGTTTCCATTAATACTTTTGGATGTGGAGCTGAAAACTACGCGTCGCATTGACAGGATAAGCTCCGTTCGCCGCGCAATCCCTCACACGGAGTCCACGGAAGACGTGCTATGGAAATACGTTACCCCCATCGCCGCCGACGCAGCCTCTCCTGCCACAACCACATCACAGTTGCCATCGACCCCCCACGGTGCAGCGACTCAACCGCAGCGCGATTACACTACTCCTACACGCAAAAGGAGGCGACCCTCTGGGTCTCCACTCAAACGCGTCACCCGACCTCGCTTCTCTACGATCTCCACGCATGTTTATCCTCCCGAAGATGATGACATGGATAGTAATACGGATGCACAGACGGATACGCCGACGGCTGCGATATCGAAGGGAGGCCGAAAATCAGTGCGGTTGTCTATTCACGGTGCTCGTACGTTCCTGTTTTCCTTACCGGTCGTCCGGTGTATTGATACCAGATTGTGTCCACAGATATTCAGCGCTATGACGAGGACATGGACGGCGAGGACGGCGATAATCGAGACGCCATGGCTACCACCAAGCCCAAGAAAGCCATATCGAAGATGTCCAAACCCGAGCTCAAGGCGGAGTTGCTCCGCATGAGGAGGGTATCGCTCGGGCTCCAGAAGGAGAACCAACAGCTGTCTGTACGATTACGCGGGACAGACATTGAATCAGAGGAAGAGGGTGATGGCATGGATATCGTCCCCGGCACGGATGCATCAGATCCGTTTGAGCGAGCTTTATCTCCTCTTACGGATATTGACGACGGGTCGCCGCCTCCGTCCCCACCACCAATGACGCAAGACGACGATCGCGTCCCGACGCGTCCTTCAACCCCCACCCAACAGCTCACAACGCCAACTATCCATTTGCCGTCGCCGTCTCAGACGTCCCTCGCATCGTCAGCGTCGCCCGAAACCCAGCAAGACGCCGTCACACCCAGTCGCAATGCGAACCAAGGTCCCCAGCTGAACGATGCACCCACGCGTACGCAGTCAGGATCCCTCATCTCACACATCTCAAGGAGGCCAACGCCGGCGCCTTCCAATCCTTCGTCTCCTACATATCCAACTGCACCTCTCGCTCCCAGTCATGAAGCGGAGCAACGTCATTCTGGCGGCGGTGATTCCAGCACAGCTCTGGAGGTGGAAAAACTGGAGGCAACTATCACCTCCCTTGAAGCGCAGAGAGATCGGGTTTCGGCGACGAATACGCGTTTGGAGGAGCAGTTACTGGTTTTGCAGACTATGTATCCGAGGAAAATGGATGAGCTCCAAGAAGAATTGCTTGGCCGTGTGGAGGAGCTGCGCGTGGCGGGGGCGGGTAAGCGCGAGCTGCAAGATCAGCTTCTGAAGAAGGATGCAGAGGTCCAGTCCTTGGGGCATGATCTAGAGGCTGCCCGAGCCGACCTATCTACTGCGCGCATTGTTCTCGCCGAAGAAACCGCGAAATTCCAAGGAGAGAAGGCTTCGCTTCAGAAGAATATCGAGGAACTTCTTTCTGCCAAGACAGCTCTTCTTGAAGAGGCGGAAGGGAACAAGAACGCGAATGCTCAGCTAGTCGAGGCGACTGAACGATTGAAGGCGGCGAATCAGGACCTCGAGGCGAGAATTGCGTTGATTGAAGAGCAAGTCGTTCAAGGCGAGATACAGAGCACGCAACTTGTGGAGGAGAAGGCGCAGGTCCACTTGAGGTTGGAGGAAGTTATGTCGAAGAACCGGAAAGCTGAGGCGACCGTGACGGAACTTCGAAACACGGCTATCGAAATCGAAGTGGAGAGAGATGCAATGCGTAGTCAGGTGGACGCTTCGAATCGCGAGTTGGAGGCAGCAAAGGTCCAGCTACTGACGGTGCAGGGCGACTTGGTGAAGAGGATGGAGGAAATTGGACGTCTGCAGGAGGACTCCAACAGCAAGACGGATGCGTTGGTCAAGAAGGATCAAGAATTGACTACGAAAGACGTGGAGTTGGCGACCAACGCCGTGACTTTGGAGGCTAATTCCAGCGAAATCGCTCACTTACGATCGCAATTGGCCGACGCGCAGCACGAACAGGAAACTTCTATGGAGCAGCGGATACAACACGAGACGCAGATACAAGACCTATTGCACCAGTTGCACGAGAAGAATGGTCTACTTGAGGCCACCCAGAAAGAGGTTGAGCTCTTGCGCGCACAAGTCTCGACGGCCAATACCGAGATACACCAACTAAACGAGCTGTTCGGGGGTACCAACTCGTCGCTTACTTCCGCCCAGCAGGCGTTAGCCTCAGTGAGAGAAGAGCTAGAGGGTGCTCTTGTGGAGCGAGGCACGATGAGCGCAGAGATTATGCGCCTCAACACGGAGCTTGCTGCTATACGGCAGGAGCAAGACGTCCTGCAGACGACTTCGTGCTCTCAAGCCGTTGCCTTAGAAGCCGCTCTCGAAGACCTAGAGGATGAACGGAAGAAATCAAAGGCCTTGGCGGAAGATCACGCTGAGCTTCAGAAGCTCAAGGAAGGGGATGAAGCCACCATCCGTGGACTGAACCAAAGGACAACCAGGTTGAAGGAGCTTGTTGAGGAATTTAAGAAGGGTCAGGCCAAAGTCTGGGGAAATTTTGTCGACGCCCTCAGCGACTTCGAGCCATGTCAAGCTTCGCCGTCTGGCATCGACGTCTCATCGGGGTCCTCATTTCCCAGTGTCCCAGTCAACGCCCCTCTCTCTTCGCCTATACGCTAAATCCGCCCTCCGTCTTTTCTTTTCTTTGACTTACGGTTCGGAATGATTTAGTATCATTTATACCATATATTGACTGTCTCGATGGTCCCATTCATCTCCTCTTTTACCCGCGTATCTGCCATCCTCTTTTTACGAATCACCGTCCACAGGTTTGATGATATATGTCTCTCGATTTACGCTACGAAGGCCCAGTACTAGTACGAAAACGATATATATCATACTATTCTTTACCATACATACATGTATATGTACGAAATATGTTGCCAATATCACATCCATCGAAATCTCTCTCCAGCGTCCCGCCGTTCCAGGCCTTTCCAGGATGTAGCCACGTGGAGATGACCAGCATGCTACTTCCCCACACAAGACTTCGACTACAGGGTTGGCCCGCAACAAGACGCCAACTTGAAGCTACTGCTGAGGATCCAGGGACAAGAAGCGAAGCCTTCTACTTGACGCGCTGATTCACTTGTGACTTCATCTTCGCTGTCTCAAGGTCACTAAGATACTGCCGTCAAGGACAATGGAGGTTGAAAAACTATGTGAGCTAACATCATCGACTTTTGTTCCCCAAAATACAAGCTCACACCATTGTACCTGATAGAACATACTCAATAGGTGAGTCGAAATGCGGAAGAGTGTCCCTCGCCGTCATTGTCGTCATGGTCTCAATCATTCCTCAGTACTCTACCCTCTTCAAGCAGATTCACAATAGACCTGCGACATGCAATTTCGCCTTAATGAAAGTAGTCTTCTCTGCGCCAAAGGCCCGTCTCACGTCAATATTCGAGATGAAGCTTATTCAAGGTGCATAATTAAAAGCAACGAATGTTTACTCATTTTGGTCCGTTCATCAACTTCATCTCAGCAAATACGGCTATAATTCGTATCCCATCGCCGTCGGCGTCATCTTGTCCCCGCCGACTGTAAACGATGATCAACTGACTCGTTGAATCTGCGAGGAAGTTAGTAGGAATGTACCTGAACAGACCTGAACTCAAAGCGAGTTCGCTCAACTTTACCATACCGCACCAATCGGCAATTCCTCTCATAAACCCTCATAAACCTTGCTCCCCCATGAGCTCTATTGATCCCGCGACGAAGGCCTTCGTTCAGCGGAGGGTCCCACTGCCTGTCGGGTCCCGAAAGCCACCGAACGGTGCCTGCGAAACTTAAGCCTAGTAAGAAGTCTGCTTTCTCCCAGCGGTCTCACTCTACCCATCAAACCACCCACTCTAGGTCAGCCCTCGAAGCTCCATCATGGAGTGGGTACTCACGTTTATGTTTAAAGCTCCCACTCAATAAATCTGAACTTTAGGGGATAGAATCTTGTCGTAGTCAAGCTCTACTTCGACGTCGGGGCTCGGTACCGTACGTCACGATGTCAAGAACGCCGTTCGTCGGGCGACGACAGTGAGTCGTATGAATAGTGACGTGGGCCTCGCCGTGCATCCGAGTCGTTGTAACCATTTGATTATTCCTTCGAAGGCTCACGAAGCTTGGATCATGTGTCCATTCCTCTCAATATGTCTCCCTTGTATCGGTGACGGTGTCTTTATGAACTTTATGGCCCTTCTTGTTCATTGTAAGCTCTCACTCGCAGACATCGCTTCTAATTTTCACGGTTCCTGACACGTTAGGCCTGCGCAGTTCTGCCATTAGGCTTAACCAATGGTTGATCGCTGAAGCTGCCTTCCTCATTATCGTATATCACTCCGATCAACGTTTTCAGAAATGCAAATACCAGACGTTGAGCGCGTTGTCAACTTCACCTTCCCTTCATATCCCACCGGTCTCCGCGGTGTGCTACAAACAAAATGCTTGCTATCGCTTCACCCTCAACGCCACATACACAAGTAGTCTATACCACATACTAGCGCATTCCCACCCCCACTGGCGACCCTGCGAAGGCCATACTGAACGGAAACAAATACTTCTTTCATCATGTCCCAGCGCTTCAGCCACCCCTTCGTTTATACTCGCAGTCGGAGCTACGACCATTTTGGATATAGCTGCGTATGTAAATCCCTGGTTGTGAAAGGCGTTATGGAGGAGTCAGGATACAGCACGTCAGAGATTGGATCTGATGGACCGTTCCTTCCAAGTTGAGAAACGCCTCACCACTAGCGCATGTATTAACCCATGTAAGAAGCTTCATCCCTCCACACCATGGTCGATAGCTGCTCCTACTTGACTGAATCTAGACCGCACTGCTAACCTGGTAAGATGAGTCTTTATCAGAGCCATCTCGTAAGTATGGATACACTTGCGACTGGATGACATCTGTCGAACCATATATATTGGTATCTAATCGATAACTCTACACGCGGAAGGCGGTGACGTTGGATTACCGGAACTGAACGTCGAACCTCGTCATTGGGCACGATAAGTGAGTCTGAACGGCTGTACATATACTTGTCATGTGGTTGTCATTACCTCTAGGCTTGCATGCCGGTCGGATATCGACATCCCCTCTGGGAACAACGTTAACAGACTGGCGGTGAAATCAATCGATTACTGACTTGTTTACTGTAAAACGGAGCTCCGAGTACATATGATCGCGCGCAGCCTCAATGATCACTTCTGTTTTTGTGCATGTGACGGAAGAGACAGAGAGTGTTTAGCTTCATTGAGCCACGGCGAATAGCAGCAGAAGTGGGTGAATTGATTGGCTGAATGGATGACGAGAGGGACTAAGAATGAAATGAAGGAAGTCGAAACCGAAACGAGGACCAGGTGAGGTCATGGCTATGGTATTCATGTCGCGGGGCAGCGGGGAAGTCCGGGGCTACGTCTACGAGGCACGGAGCACGTAGCTAGTTGTGATGAGTGCGCCTCATAAGGATGATTCCGACGGGACACTAGTATCTTGCTCTTGTCTAGTCATTATTCGCATTATTAGTTAAAAGGAAGTATTCCGCCGTTCTAGCTTGGTTCCCAAGGGCCAGGTTTTCATAAAACATTTCGTGATCGATCGTGCGAGACCACGATGAGGTTGATAATCAAGGGAAGATGTCCAGTTAGTAGGCTGCGGACCGTGGACCGAGGCATTTAGCCAATACGAGGTGTGTCGTCGCTTAACGCATTCAGCATTAGCGGGATTTAGTGACGTTCGGTTGGCGTTGAACGGCCCTCAAACGGCTGCTCAATTGAGAAAAAAAAGGTTGGTAATGAGCGCTGGTTCAGAGGATCTTGGGAATGGGGTATCTGTGCAGCCGATGAGAAAATGGTCGTGAAGCAGACATGTCCGGTTCATGGGGCGGTAACACTGGCGAGGCGACAGATAAGGGAATTCTTGGCGGCAAAAACATGTTGTGAAGAAATCGGATTTCGATAGATTTTCGATGTATGAGCGTTGTAATCAGTTTCCTTGGGCACAGAGGGAGAGAAAATAAGGGGGAAGTCAGGGGCGGGACAATGAAGTGAGCGTTAGCGCCGTTGCTCGGCGTGGGCCGGTTCACGTGGGTGTCGACCAGGCACGGTCCAATGGTGCGGCCCCGATGCGTGGGTAAAGATTGCCGGAAGCAGACTGGTTTGGGTGAAGGAGGAATTCTGATTTGGTATGTTTTCTGACCTTCTGTCCGACATATCACCGTTTCTCCCAGCCATCAAGGCGGAAACCTTGCGGTTGGATATTGCAGAATTCGCTGGACGTCGTCGCACAGGGCTGAATAATTTTCCTAATAGCGAAATGGATTATTCTTGCACTTGATCTTGCACAACCGCCTCTCTTAACCGTAAAGCCACTTCCGAACCACTCGTATCTCGCGTGGCTTCTTCCCCGCAACAGTCTTCCACCCTTGTTTGGTGTTTGCTTGTTTGTTCTTCAATCTCTTTCCTTCTGCCATGGTCGCCAGCTTGAACAGCGATCTCTACACACCGTTTCCACATAACATGATTCTCGAGGAAGGCCCCCAATCCAGCGAAGAAGGTTCTGGTCTGCATTCGCCAGTCTTCGGTGCTCCTTTTGCCCCTCCTCACGGCGATAATAACAGTATGTCGTTGCTATCGTACCCGCTATATACATTCTCACCTCACTTTGTCCGTCAATTAAGTCCGGTATCAACTGAATCATCCTGACGTTCACCATGCCGCGGGCATCCTTGCAGCGCAATTTGACTACAATGCTCCGAGTCTTGCAATCCAACAGCCCCCGCTCCTTAATGCACATATAGAGATACCGAGCTCCGGTCCTCATCAGCATGTCACGTATACTTCCAACTTCTCTCTCTCTCGCAACCAACTCGATTCACCGATTCAGTCCACGACGGAAAAATCTCGTCTACCGCCACCTCCGGTCCACGGTGGCGACGCGGTATTAGACTACAACTTCAGCACCTCGCAACGCCGGTTGCCTGGGTCTCAGCCTCATGACCAGTCCCTTCCCCGACCGACTGGTACAGCTCCTGGGATGTCGCTGGACGGTGATCACAAGGCGTCTGCGCCCTCTGCCGAGCGCACCGAAACTTCCCCTGCCTCCAAGAATTCCCCCCGAGAGTCGAGAAAGGAGAGTTCGACGCTTGTCATAGCTTGTCGCCAATGGTAACAATTTCTTTTCATTAAACCATTTTGCGGAATACCAACGACTTCCTACCCTGCTCACAATCTAGCCGTGCGCGCAAGATTCGCTGCGATTCTACAAGACCCGCATGCAACAACTGCCACCGACGATCTAACGACTGTCAATATGATGCCGTACCAAAGAGACGTGGGCCAGATAAACGTCCGGGGACGAGGCAGAGATCATGTAAAAAGAGGCCAGCAGACGGGTCCGCTCCCCCTCCACCGAAAAGATCCAGAAAGACCAGCGAGCGTCAGACCGAGGAACGCGATCCCACCACATCCAGAGTGAAGGAAAACATGGTCAGTGGTAGGCGCACCCCACCGCCCCCACGCCACCTGGATCGATCTCAAGGTACAACGAGTCAGATACACGCCACGCCAGCGCCTGGTGATCTACGAATATCAACCGACACCAGTCTGATGAAGGTTCGTGTCAATCACATCAACCTCACCATGATCATCAATTCATTCTTCATACGTAGCCGGAGCTGTCGCCTGTTGGTCGACGCGTGCCCGACTATGGGTACGACCAAGGGTATGTGAAGCCATATCCTCGTGCTATCGATGTCAACATCCTCGGATCCTCCAGTGGATCACATCAGAAGTTCCCCGCTCCGTCCTCCCCAACTGTTGAATATGATCAGAGAGTTTGGTGGGAAACCTTCACGAGGACATACCCGTGCGTCCATCATCGTTCTCGATCCCTAGCCTTGAACGAACTAAAGTTAACCGTATAGCCTCCAAGACATCTCGGATGATTTGGCCTACCTGTGAGCGATCACTCTGCAACTCTAATTTATTACCTCCTAATACTATGTACAGGTTTAAAGATACCGGACATTGGTTATCATTCTTGAATCTCGACTTCTTCACTTCTAGTCTATTCAATCCTGAAGACCGACTACATATACAACCTTCATTTATCTTAGCTGGCCTCGCTTTGGCCGTGCTGATGAAGTCAAGTGAGCTTGAGGGGGGTTCCAACGGCCGTGGCCGAGCGCTATGGTTTCGCAACGCCGCGCAGGAGGCTTTAAACAAGGCATGGAGGTCTGAATGGATTGACGCCCAGCTCGCCGAAGCTGCTTTTGTAGGGCCACTTCTATTCGGCTTGCTTGACGCCACCTGACGTTTCTCCTATATCAGATGCTCTCACTTTTTGAGATGTCCGTCCACCCTCAATATGACCCCGATCGGGTCGTCAACTCTCTGGTTTTCCTTGACAATATCATTCGTCATGTTTCTCTTACTTCGGTCGACGCCCATGATCCTGATGTTGCTATTTTCCCCACCCGCACCGTTCCTATGATTCCACAAGATCTTTCAAATGATTCACTGGTTCCACCTCATGAACGCAAGTGCTCTTGTATACCCACCGACGCGGCTCATCCTCCCGATGCCTTTTCAACTTGGGCGTATCCGTTACCATGGGACTCATCTTGGACGGAAGTTCAAGTTCGTGATGAGGAATGTAGGCGCTTATGCTGGAGCGCTCTCAGCCTCGTTTCGACATATACCTCCCAATGCGCAGCCTTCAACCGCGATCCCCCTAATCTGTTTCTTACTGATCCCTCCAATGTTAGTTGAAACGTTTATGTAACTTCCTTGCACTCACTCACCATGATTTCCACGCAGTACGCTATATTATTCCCCGGGGAAGTCATGGACCGGATGTCGCCGGCCTATCGCTCTTCTGATTCTCCATCACCGAAAGAATCCGTATGGGCGCTATACTGCCGCAGCATGTTGCTGTGGACTTTCTGTAATCGCATCCGAGTCGAAGGATGCTCTGACGAGGATAAAGCTGAATACGCTTCTGAAGCCTGGTCAGAAACGCAAGCTATCCAGGATTCAATCGACATGCATACTTGCAATCTGGACACGGGATTGATGTATATGACTAAGGAATATCTTCATAAGTAAGTTGATCATCGCGCACCCCGTTTAGGATGTGGATTGATGATACCCACTCCTTAGCACAAGGATGATGGTCACACAGTCGTTACGCAGGTTGGTGCCCCGTTCGGACATGTAGGTTTACACTGCCTCACACCCCCGTGATACGTTTAGCTTACAAGGCCTGGATAGTGGACACAGCGCTCCCGTTCCTATGTTCAACACCAAACAAGTGCAAGAATGGCGTGAGTATCCTCAGCTTTGTCTCGTCGTACTTGTCTGAAACGGTGGTAGTCTATTACCAGGATCAAGTCATCAAGCGCGTGAAGATATCGATTCAGAATCTCGGCAAGACTTCGAGCCATCAGCTCCTTCGGAGACCCTTCCAGGTTACATGGTTTTCGAATCAATTGGCGATGTACGTGATTACGTCGGATCTATTTCTGACGCGATTGCTGATATATTTGCGTGACGTACACAGATGTCTGTTGCTTTGGAATCAAAATCATGAATGGGTCAACGCCATCACTCTGGCGAAATCAATATTAATTCCTCTGGATGTCCTCAATGTACTATGGCCCTCTCCAGGTATGTTCTTGCCAAGTACAAGGTTAATCAGAAGCTGACTTGACTGCCGTTGTTTAGTCCATCAGCATCAATGTAATGAGATGCGGAATCGACTAACGGAGGCATGCAGTGCCCTTGGACTTGATCCACCTCACCCTCCCTCATATTCTATTCCTCCAGCATTGCGTTTTGGACCCCTGACACCTTAAACACACGGTTGAACTTAAGTTAAAGCCTTTGCTGTCCCGCTCCTTCCTTCGTTGCATCCCAGTGTTATTTATCAAATTTATCAAGTTGTTTTGAATATTTTCGGACCATGTTTTCCTGCAATGTACGTCTGGCGAAATGTTAACTGATAGTCTATGTATACCACCGCCAATTTATTATCTGGGACAAGTTATTGTGTCCTCTGTAATCAACAAGCGCGTTTGGGCGTCTAAGATGACGTTTGCGGAATGTTCGCCACCATCTTCAAATCCACGCATCGTCCATATCGCGTCGACGATCGTTTGTGCTTGAAACGGCTTTGCAGGTCACTCGCTCATCTGTCATGAGCCCATGCGCTTCTTTGGGAGGAACTCACTTGCGGGATTCTCACCGAGTCACGGCCGATTTGGTCTAGTGCTCTTCCATTGCACTAGGTAGTATCCAAGGTAGACCATGCATAGTGTCAAAGTCATTATGCGCTTGCACTTCGCCTTGGATGTCTCTTGCTCCCAGACCACCCCATGTCCCACCACGACCTCGCAGTGCTACTTGATGGCGCCGACCCCTCCGTCACCTACGGTCCAGGATGGAGTCAAATATCGAAACCTCATGGTAATTTCATAGGCGGCTCGGCGATGGAAGGTTCCGGCAATCTTGCTTTCAACGTGTCTTTCTATGGTCTGTGGTTCACGCCTGTTTGCCTCCGGGACAAAATTTACATCGTCTGGTTCGTAGGTGTATCCCTCTCAGCCATTGGTGTGATCAATACGACCACAAATCCATTTGCATCGATAGACAATAATACGGTACAAGGGGGATACCTAGATCTCCCCAACTACAGACCATGGTACACGTCACCGGTGCTCTCCGACCACCAGCACGATTTGTCCTTTTTCATACCCAATGCTCTCTACGCTATGCTGGATTACCTAGTCGTCACGGCGGGCCCTTCGACTCCGTTACTGGGGAAGACGATCATAGCAGATGACTTCGACGCGGATATTCAGTACAAGGGATCATGGGAAACAGACTTCGGCCAAATCTTTCCAGCTAGAGACTCTAATTCCACTGGTCGCTTATCGTACAGAAATACCACTCACTTCACCCGCCATCCAGGATCTTCCTTCTCGTTTGATTTTACCGGTGAGTAATATAGGCCGAGGTTCTTAGACGGACCCTCATGAGATGATACAGGAACCACTGTATCGGTATACTGTATTTTACAATCCCACCTCGCTGGCCGTCTAGGAGCTAAATTCTCCATCGATGGGAGTTCCGCTACTACCTACGCCGCTGAATTTAACAACTCCACCATGCGTTCATTTGATCGGACACACACCCAATTCTTCAACGGCACTGTCTCTGCTGGGACCCATAGGCTGGACGTCGAGGTTACAGAGGTTACAGGCGACCAATCGTTCATGCTGGATTATATCTTATACGAAGCATCGTACGAAAACGCTTTATCAAAACCAGCAGCAAAACCACGTACGGAGGAGGAGGGTTCAAGTAAACTCCCCTTTGGTGTCACTGCCGGCGTGATTGCTGCTGCTGTCGTCCTCCTCATCCTCCTCATTGCATTCTGTTGGCGAAGGAAGCGTCGCGCGAAGAGCGTCGAAGTCGAACAAGGGGCGATCGATCTTACTGGTAAGGTCCACAATTCCCTTTACAACCTTTCCCTCATTGCCACGCAATAGCTCAACATCCAGCGTTTGGGCAAGATACTCCCGAGATGGCCCACCGCGGGACTTTTTATCGCAAGTCTAGCTTTGGGATAAGCAGCCAGACACTTGTCGCCGGGCCTGAGTCAGAGCCAGAACATCCGGGCCTTCCTAGACTGCCCTCCTTCGCGTTTCCCAGTGTACCTCCCGGAAACGACGACATACATCGTATCGACCCATTCACTATTTCTTCCTCTCGCCCTTCGTCTCCGCATCGCCGGAAAAAGTCCGAATTCCTCGCTTCTATCGATACCACTAACCGTCATTACCCCAACGCATCAACCTCATCCGGTTTCCACCTTCCTTCTCCTTCAAGCTATCATGCCTCCCAGTCGTCAAGCGACGTCACAAGCAGCGGGTTGCTAGCAGCCTCTGCCCCGTCCTCTCCCCATCACCTCACGCATGCTTCATCTCGTAGTATGTCATCAAGACGCTCGAAAAGCATCACCGATCCAGACAACCTTGATTCTCTCCCCCGCCCGCCGTCCTCTCACACACCCTCCCACTCCAAACACAACCGCACCCTTACCTCAGCGACCAACACATCTACTTACACTACCGCCGCCTCGAATTCCCACTCCTCCGGTGCTCCCCATCATTCGCGCAACTCTTCTCATATGTCATTTAACTACGCTGGCGGACCTATCCCCCAAGTAGAGCTCAGGCGCCGTACGCAGGAGATCTACGAGATGGTTGCCCGGCTGGAGAGTGACATTACGCTTGCCGCGGCTGGCGCTGGTGCGAATGGTGGAGAGGGCGAGCATCGTGTTCAAGAGCTCCGAAGGAGAGTGGAGGTTCTGACAAGAGAAAATGCAAGGCTGCATAATCAAAGTACTATGAGCGCATCACTACCTACTATCATCACCACCGTCGACGAGCCCCCGCCTGCGTATCATACCCCCGGTCCAGCCACTTGTTGAAGAATCCTTGCTTTCATTTATAGGGACGATTTGTTTGCATTACACTGTACGACTACATAACATTTACCATCTTTGTATTCATAAGTTCTGTATGAGTAGTTCACAACTCTGCGTATAACCATCATTAGGCTCCACTCCTGTATCCATTTCCTCAGCATATCACCTTCTACTTACTTGTACAATTCGTCGATAGCTTGGGACGTTAATCTACCTCCATAATTAGAATTGAAAGTTCAACAGACTTCGTAGATATTGATGAGTACCACCAAACCGGAGACCCACTATGAAGGTCGCTACGCAAGAGGGGCATGAAGCATTCATCCTATTTTCCATAGTAAGAATGAGCTACACCATCTAAGCGAATCGTAGATAGACTAGTAAAGCAGGCAGATGCTATCCGCTTGGACCACAAAACGGGCAAGCAAGAGGACGAATCAGCGCCCCAGCGGTTGCAATAACCTTGAAAGTGTCAGAACGAGTGATTGGGTGATCAAAAAGTCGTGACCAAGTCTTCCGATAAATACATGAAGATCTTCTCCCTCTTCAACCAGTCTCTCCGGTACTTATCAATCGACTGGTTGTACTGAACCCTTTCCTGCAGCAGTGCAAGAAGATTCGCGATCGGCTCGGGAAGGAGGAAATCCTCCGGGCGAACGTTCCACGGTAACACGAGAGGTGTGAGCGATGCACGATTCAAAATCATGTCGAAATCAACGCTTGCGCAACAGAAGGATGCTTTATGACAATGGAGCAGTGTTCAGGATTTCTCGCACTGCGAGTGACATAAACGATACATCGTGGTGAGGTTGCACATCCCTGTCCTTAGGGGTCCAGAAAGGGCATCCCCGCAAGAAGAGAGGAGCGAACTCATGGACACGTCTGGCGTATATGACCATTGGACTTGCGGTATACATTCATGCATATGGAGCTGTCGATGTGGTCAACCCACCGCATTGTATATATAGAAGCGTATCACGAGATTCTTCTGTAGGGATCTTGATGATGGCTCTTCCGTTCGGTTCCCAATCAATACGTGAAGAGTATACGGGGGGATGTCTGTACAAAATTGAGCTGCTGTATTGAAAAATAAGTCCAATCGAACGGATCAAGGGATTTTTCACACAGTTCTCGATGAGCGAGCGCGTGCATCTTTCTCTTGCAATTCCTTCTCGAAGATGACGTCGGCGTCGCGGCCGTTGGTCTCTGGCAGAAATACCAATGTGACCACTGTAAAAACGTCATTATTAGTACTCAACTAACATAGATGCGGATAAATAGATGCCAACCGACTGTCAGAAGTGATACTGCAAAGAAGACTAGTTATCAAGTAATGGTCGGTTAGTAGGTCGGTTAGTAGGTCGAGTTGATAAAGATGGAACACGTACTCCACAGAATTACAGGTGTGCCTACACTCTTGCTAAGTTGGTTGAACACCAACGACGAGAGGATGGCCCCGCATCTACCGGAAGCGGCAGAGATGCCGTGAGCAAAGGCTCTGTACCGCGAAGGAAATAGTTCTGCTGGGATGATCTGTTTGAAATGCGTGAATTCGAAGCTAATCTCGAGCATGGGAATAGAGGGTCCTTGACGTACATATATCGTCCTAATAAGGCGAGAGAGAAATTAGGTAACCCTGAAGAAACATAGAGAACAACGTACATGTTCGCTCCGAAGTTGAAGAAGAACTAAGAATGAAGGGCATCCCTTAAGCATATTGAGGCATTCCCGACATGCTGACACACCTGTAGGAGCGTGAAGCACACAATAAATCCAGCCTTGCCCAACGATTGGAACTTGGCCGCCAATATCGCCACTATATATCGGCGGTCAGAACCATAGTATCATCAGACGGCTGTTGGTACTCAACTGAATAAAGCCGTCATAAGCGCGCCCTGGACTTGGATCCACTTTCGGCCAAGTCTGTGGATCGTAAAGACCGTGAAGTAATAGCCTTTGCGCAGAAGAAAACGATCCCGTGTTACTACTAGCGGGGTCAGTAAGAGGGATCCACGTACCGGGGAGGAAGCCTAGCACCGTGATGATCAAACTCCCAGTAGCTACCCTAAAGAGCTTCTGCCAGGGCGTTCCTGTGGTGCCTTGGAACCCAATTTGTTCGAGAACGAAGTTTTGGTTGAGGTTCACGCCAAAAAACCTAGGGTGAAAGTGTGAAGTAGATAAATGTGCAAGGTGGAGGAGGTTTGACGTACGCGATATTGGTGAGGAACCAGCTGAGGCACGTCCCGATGAGGTGCTTCGCGTGCTTCCACTCCGATAAGTATTCCAAGAATTCTGTCAATAGAATAAGCAAGAGTGTAGCAAGCGCAAGGGCGGGGCCATACCTCGTATATGAGCCTTCCTCGGAGTATCCTCCACTGCGAGGAAACGGCAACAAGTAAGGAACGGTCAAATAGTAGCAAAACGGAGAACTGACCAGGTATGCTGACGTCTTCGGCTTCCATCTTGTCGTCGGGTTCGCCGTGAAGCCCTGTGGCGGTGCTCGTCCCATTCAACGCAATATCCACGTATTTGCGACGAGCAGCGGAATGGAGAGGTGGCTCAGGCAGAGTAAGCCGTTGATAAATAGTAGCAAAGGCCGGTACGAGCGATAGGCCGATCGTGATCCTCCACACTACGAACAGCATCAATACATATAATCCAGAATCGAGCGAGCTTGAACCCTACCTGCGTCCAGTTTGTCAACTTCCCCGTTGTCGTTGATGACGTGCTTGTAGGCTGCGAGGACGATGATTGCGATCAGACTGCCAACAAGGCTACCCCATCCTTGCATCGCAACAATGTACGATAGGACAGTTCCTCGTTTCCAAGGCTCAGTGCGGTCAGTAGTGATACTTGAAGACATTGGATAATCGCCGCCGATGCCGATACCAACGATTATCCGGAAGGAGGCAAGGTAAATGAGGGAGTTGGAAGGGCTCAGAACACCTATCATAGAACAATGACTTTAGTTGAATGAAATGTCGGCGAAAAGTTGGGGACGGGATAAGGAAGGAGGCTTACTCGTCGGCGTGGAAAGACATAATATAGTCCCAATAATGACCGTCAAAAGTTCCTTGCCATCTATCCGTGATCGTAGCTCAGTCAGTAAAACTGTTGCGTGGACAAAAGGGTACACACATATAGCCTTCCTTCCAAACGCATCTCCAAGATAGCCTAACGTCAGCCAGTCAATGATTACATTCAGGAGGTCTTGAAAAGGGAGAAAATGGCAGAAGATGGTGAGTTGGCATACCGAATAACAGCTGGCCGAGAACGCTTCCTATTAATGCGCCTGACTTTAGGTATCCCTCAAGTCTGGGTGGGAGGCTATCCCCCGCAAATAGCTCGTATTGGAGCATCGTAGATACGGGCTACAAACCATTCAAAAAAAATCAACAGTGATTCAAGGCGATCGAATGTCGAGCAATGCCAAGAAACGCACATTAATTATGAAATAGTCGTAGGCTATAAAAAGGTGATCGAGTACCATGAGCATTCGAGGCTAGTCATGGAGAGACGACGACGGACCGTCCAAGAAATTTCCTGTCTGTGTACATAGAAATAAATATCAGCCCGAGATAGATCGCCAAGATATACTACGCTTACAGCGGTGATGCCTAGCAATCCAACATCCTCTCTCGATAACATCAATGCCGGGTTTCCCATCTTTTCTTGAACCTTTGACTGGCCGTCCCGCTTATCTTCTCCTGTTGCAGAGTTCTTGGTGGGCTTTGCCCCTGCGATCATCTCACCCTCTGTCTCCATCTCGTCACTGTCAACAACGCCACGAAGACGAGTGTATGCGCACAGCCCGGGCGGAGCCTATGCAGGATTTAGCTTGGGGCGAGGGTTGGAGCTCGGAGGAGGGTGGGAGGGGGCTATGTGGCTCGTGAAGCCACAAAGCCATCACTGGGTTGACTTGCACGTATACTTGTACTAAATCGATTGATGATATGCTCAATAGGGAAGCAAAGTACAGCGAGGTAAGAGGTGTGGCGTGCGTGTACGCGGGACGAAGAAGCGTATGAATTCGTGAGTGAAATTGCTCCAAATCGATGCGCGAGTACCTGATCCCACGAACCGAACAACATAAGCCTGGGGCGCTACTTAAACTGTTATTCATCCGATAGTGATAACGGTGGATTACAGCGTACCAACAAGTGTTTCGACGTACGAGAGTGTGCGCATGCAACCATACAACGGCGGGTGGGTGCATGTACCGCGCGGACGACTTCGTATCTCCAGAGAGGGTATTTAAAGTTCTCGGCGAAGCTGTCAAACTGTCTGAACATTTCAGAAGCAAACCCCACAGTTGCTTCTCCCGCAACATGTCTAGCACGCTGGACATCCCGCGCCTCGGGCGCCACAGAGGGTGAACAGAAACCCAGCGCGGGGTGATATAGTTCCGAGAGACGACCTACTTAGCCACCCGCACGCTGGACTAGCTGCGCAGTGGCTGGCAGCGTAGGAGTTCCAGTATCATTACGCTGCGAGAAAGTATAGCATGTGAGTTTTTTTTATCAAAGAAGGCTGTTCGATGGAGTATACACACCTGACGCTGCACGAACGTGCGTCGTCGTTGATCATCAAAAGTTCGAGCGTAGGATGGTTAATTCTGATCCAGTGACCAAGCACCGAGGCAACTCAACAGAATTTTGATTCTTAGTAAGTTTTGTTTCGGTACCTAACTTGAAAGCGTCGCTTGTATTAATCAATCATAGAAGAGGAAGAGTAACACACGCGAGTTTAAGCAACAAATGTCTTGAACATGACCGGGCCCTCCAAAACACGCTACATGATCATCAACGCCGTTGTACATCCATGGCGCCGCACGGTCAACACACGGGAAAGTTAGCTGTGTGACCACCGTAGAAGTTAACGGGATCCTAGGGAGTCACCGCTATTGCGCGTTCACGACTCACGAGGATATCGTTACTTGCAAGACTGTGGCGTGGTAGCGAACTTCAAGTCCCTCGGCGCCTATCTCTACATTAATACGCAGGGCGCAGTGAGTCTCAGTCAGATCAACTGACTTCGACTACTGTCCTATTCCGCGCTATCGGTATGTTCAACTCTTCTGATACTACGGGAGGTCGTTGACGAAGCTAAGAACGAGGAAGACTAATACTGCGAGGCGGACGAAGAGGCCCAGATGTGCAGTTATCTTGTTCGTCTGCTCGTCCAGCTTGCTCCCTGTTTATTGACAATGTTAGGCCCGAATTTTCAACTATATTGCGTTCTACGAAAGGTCTGCATCCCGAAGACAACAGGATGCCTCTGAAACTGAAATGGACGAAACGGGTCTAGATGGTGTACCCCCAACATATCCTAAGTTAAGACTCGGGCAACTCGCGACCCATCGCATCTTGGCGCGACCGCGCTTCCTTCGCAGTAGTAAAATCTGGTGGCATGGGGATGCCTCTAAACGATTCTGAGGCTCTAAGCCAAAGCGGAGACCACGCTCGTCTGCACTTAGCTGGCTCTCCGTTTCGCTTGTTCTCTATTGGGTTCATTATTAATGGCAACAACAACTTCCGAGTCGGGGCCTTCGATCGTGCCGGCGTCATGGTTTCCTCTGCTGCGAATATGCGGATGGACACCAAAACTTTGATTCGCGTCATACGCAGGCTTTCATGCAATTTTTCGCATACCGATTTGGGATGCGACTCGTCTGTCTGTCACCTACCGCTTGGTATACCTCCATTCGAAAGAGAGCGACATCCCTGAGAGTACCAGGTGATTCTCTTGACTACCCGTCCTATATTGTTCAATGCCGCAAGCGTACTCATATGACTCGCGATCTCCGTCGCAGCAGAGCGCGATGGGTAACTTGCAAGTGGCTGACTATCGGCCCCCCTACCTGGACGTCTCTTTCGCCCCTTGGCCAGGGCACTAGCACTTGGCGGGTAAACCGGTAACACCAGTCGTTGGGGATCTCATCGACGTCCGCGCCAGGGTGTATATGTTGAAGAACGAATGGAGGGACAGCCACCGCGTCTCTGATTCGGAACTATACGAGATGGAGGCTGGTGCTCCTGACTTCCATTGCGGCAGCGACGCCGTACTTCCCTATGCAAAGCTTTCGGCTGCCGTCAGTGTCACCAACATCTGCAATCCAGATTACCGTGTCAAGTGTGGCAATCCGCTGAACATCCCATCACAGTGTTCCATCAACTCCATGTCTATGTTGTATTGACTCATCCTTAAGAAGGTAGGGCGCCCCTTGTGGGATGCTAATCATTGTGTGGAACTTATAGAAGGTTTTCAGGCGGCGTTGATTGGTGAGTTCCGCCTTTATTCAGTCAGTATGCTTCATTTTATTCGAGCCCATGTCCATAGGCCGTGGAAGCGTGGAAGCAAGGTTTCCTCCATTACGATACTAACCCTGGAAATATACCTCTCACTAAAGAGGGCAATGAAGGTTCATCACCGATTTGGAACTTGTCCGCCTTCGTCAGATTTAGCAAACTCTCGGAAAGGCGAACAATGGTGTTCCAGAAACGACAGCCAAAGCACAGACTGATTCAAGACGCAGACTGTCAATGACTGTAGGCCTTTCTCCCAGGGCCGTCCCGAGTTGTCACAACCGATCAATTCTCCAGGGAACTGACTAGTTCATGGCGATTGCAAAGCTCGAACCAATCCATCACCAGCCACCGTTCCTGAAATAGCCGACCATGTTCGCTATGACCTCGAATCTTTCATTTGGTCTTTACGTCGTGCGCCGACTCATGTCGCAGAAAGGGTTGGATTCGGCTGCAACTAAATACATCCATAAATGATGCAAAGAATACTTCTGCAGTTGGTCCATGTCAGACATAATCACGTATCGTGCTGCACATGCCCCTCCCCAGTTACCACGTCCTACCGGTAAGGACGTCTTTCCCGAGCCCATCAAGGATCTCTTTACGGTGGTTCTCAGTACAATCAGCCCGCCGACGAGTACGCAAGATTGATTGAAAGAGTGGAACTTGGGCTCATGATCATCTTCTAACCGCTAACCCACGCGTTGTCGGTCAAACCGATAGACAGCGCGATCACCGAGATGAAATTACTCGGACACCAGAGCACTGAGCGTTGAGCATTGATCACCTCCATCTGTAGCCCTGCTGTCTCCGTTTGTTTCCTCTAATAATATAGTCCGTATGTTGTCGGTCGATGACGCCTAGCGTCAAGTGCGAAACCAAGGCCTTGGTATTACGAGTCACGACCCAAGAGCAGTAGAAGGCAGTCCCGAGGGAAAGTTGCAACGATTTGAGCTCAAGCGCTCAAGCGCTCAAGTACCATCACGCTAGCGCCTATTCTTCCACTTCCGCTTTCTGCCCTCAACCATTACCTGCTCATCGTCCTTCAATGTTCAGTGATCACAGACCTGTAGAGGTTCACCTAAGGACCTCTTGAATCATCTGAGGCCAGTCACGCTTGAGACTGAACCTATTATACTCGCTACCGTTGCCAGGCGTATTACCTGAATGTTCACCAATTTCACAAGGTGAATGCGTATATACGCGCATGAATTGACCAGTTTGTTAGCGCTATTCGGTGTGCCATGAGAATTACGGGGGAGAGAGGATGTCGAGTGAGCCTTGTGACTTGGGTATGCATATTCTTCTCCTACGGCTACATGCTTCTCATTAAGAAAGACAAGTGGTTACTGATAATCACTTATATTTCGGTGTTTATACCCTTTACCCAGTTCATTTACCGCGTGCAACCACGAACTCGCAAGCGTTACAAGCACTGGTTGCCAAGTCGGTGGCCTTACATGGTCTGCGCTGAGCCTGCACTGTCTACAATCTGCATCGTGCTGAACTCGTGCTATCGCCGCACGGGTCGGCGTACGGACCCCGATATTCCCTGAAATCATGTACGTCGTGATACTACCTGTGTCTTATATGACATTGATAAATCATCCCAGCAGATTCTTACAAGAAGGCCATAAATGCAGCCCCATAATGCAGTAGCGCTATCAGCCGTATGGACACGCAATAATGGCAGTCACCAGTAGGATTGGTGGTAACCGGGCTCATGACTAGTAAGCAATTCCTCGCAATAAGGCATTGCCTTTACGACGTCAACGGGTGTTGGCGGAATACCCCGCTTCACTAGCAACCGCCGCTGATCATGATGTATAACCTTTGGCGCATGGTGTGTCAGCTTTTTATCCTTGTCGTGACAAAACTGCTTGTAGAACACTGCATCTACCTTCAACCCGTTCAGTCCGAAATCACGTAGGTCCTACTCTAAAACATGATCATGTACTCATCCGTTTTATAGAAAGGACCACACTGACCATGGAGCGATGGCAGAACGTATAGTAGTATAAATACACACGAAGATCTCCATGGGTCAAGCGTAGTTCTCAGAAATCTTTGCAACTGGCTGATGATCCGTGATTTATGTGTCAGACCCACGGGCGGCTTCGTGAGCCTCGTATTACAGGTACGAATCGTGGGCCCAGGATCATCAAACCCAAAAGTGCGATCACGGATGGCAATTCCTGAGCAACCGACTGGCCGCATCTCCCCTTATGTTCGAGCCTTACGGTGTGTCAGCGTTCAGGAGCGCATGTGCCGCCGAAGGTGTAGTCAAAGTGAGTGTATATACTCTGCACAATCTACTTTCTCAAGAGTCGCTAAGTGATAGTAGGTGTAGGCGGGTAGTAACGTGTCCTGACCCGTCAGAGCTCACTTCAATCCAGCAAGAGCGTAAGACGTCCCTTCAGTATTATGCTGCAGGCATTGACGACGCCCCGCGTTCCTTAA